CTTGGCTCCCCTAGGTCAACTCAGCCTCAAATTAGTATCTGGTGCGGTGTGTAAACATGGTGCTGGCCACCTACCCCCTCGCGTGTCGTGCTGGCCTTCATAGGTACTCGCCAACAGCATTTGCCCCAGCATTCTGTTAAGTCTATACGAGGGATATTTGTCATAGTCTTGTGTCTGTGTGTATGTTTAGAGCGGTAGTGTAGCGGTTAGTGCAATGTGCTATGAACCTGGAGATCGGAGTTCAATAAAATTTCGATTTAAAGCTTCCGTGACTGCAGGGATTCATCTTCTTGGTTCTTTCGGTAAAGTCACGTAGAAGGGAAGTAATACAATAATAAAAATTAAACATAATAAAATATTTCTCACGACGTTTCGGCCACAACGCACGCTGCCGTCCTCAGGTGGAGAACAGATCTGTCGGGGCGACAGCGTCTGAAGGAGTTCAATTCTCGCTAACGGTCATCACCAGTCAGAGGCGTAGCTGGGGGGGGGGGGGAAGGGGGGTACATATGTCCCCGGGCGCCAAGGTAAAGGGGCGCCAAAATGAGGCTTAGAACGTTACATTATAACTTATTGCGGCGTGCGCGGCAGCCTGAAACTACTGCACAAATCTACACCTCAACCTAAAAGTTGATATATCCCGCCACACACAGCCTACATGTCATGTAATTAAATTTTGGTACGCGCGCCTATTAAGAACTTACATGGAAGAACGTCCCAAACAACAGACAGGCGCAGTCTTTCAGCCTTAGTCACTGGCCTGTTTTTTGGTGGCGGAAACTACGACGGCCTGAAACACTCTGGAGTGCACGATCAGAAGCTGTTAAAGCTATCTATGAAGGACTGGATGAACTAGTAGGGCTGCTAGACAAATTATCGGAGGACATAACTATGACGCCTGAAACCAGAAGTGATGCAGAACAGTTACAGGCATGCGTATTAAGTTTTAACTTCATAGTTTTGTTACATTTCTGGAATGTCATTCTTGGAAAAAAATTTATCGTGTTCAGAAGCGCTTACAGGATCCTACTATGAATTTCAAGGAAGCAGCAACTGATCTTGAATCTTTGGAGCATGAATTTGTCAAGCTTCGTGATGATTTGAGCCTTGTTGCTGTAGAAAACGCCAAAACAAGATGCACAGCCTGGGGGATCGATGTGGACAGAATAATTAGGCGACGTCGGAAGATGCCAGAAGAACTGGCAAGAGATGCAGGACTTTCAGCAGAAGAAGAAATTGTGCACGTTATGAAGAGCGTATTTTATCGACTTCAACAGGAGATGTCAACACGGTTTTTACAACTAAAAGACCTGAACACAAATTTGGATTTCTGCTGGACGTCAAAACTCTTCTATCTGACACAGATGTCGTTGCAATTCGTCGAAATTGCACAGATTTTGGACATTTCTATGACACCGACATCAATGGCCACAAACTTTTCACAGAAATTGGAGATTGCAAAATGCTGCTCAGTAACCGGGATGAAGTTCTACCAGAAACTCCTTTGGATCTTCTTGGTTTCATTGTGTTTTATGGAGACGACATATTTCCGAATTTGCGAATTTCACTGCAATAGCTGTTTCAATTGCCAGCTGTGAGCGGTCGTTCAGCAAATTGAAACTTATTTTTTCGTATTTGCGTGCTTCAATGGGACAAGATAGTCTCAGCAATATTGCTCTTCCTAGCGTTAAAAGATAAACATTGGAAAAAACTGATTTTGATTACGTGATTGACCAGTTTGCGACAGTGAAATCAAGAAAAAAATGTATGTTGTATACTATGTAATCCAGTCTACGATAGTGGCCAGTGGATATCCCGGTCGCACCCCAAGGTGTACAGGAAATGGCTCTGACTCCCTGCCACGTAGTTTTACCCGGGCCCGCTCACCATCATGAAGGTCCTTAATGAGCATAAGCAGAGGATCAGAGACTCCGAAAGCACGAAGAACAACCCAGAGCCCAGGCCTACTGATGGTATCATAGGCCTTGACCAGGTCAATGAAGCAGAGATGTAGGTCTTGTTGGAATTCCCTACACCGCTGCTGTACAAGACAGACAGAAAATAGGCATCTGTGCAGGACCGCCCTTTCCTGAAACCGCATTGGGGCTCCGCAAGCCTCTCCTCAGCGTGCCTAGCAAGGCGATGTTGAATAATCTTTGCCAGGACCTTTCCCGGCACACTGAAGAGTGAGATCCCCCTGTAGTTATTACAGTCTGTCCAGTGGCCCAGACTGTTGTTATGATGTTATGTAGGACAGTCTGTGCACAAACGCCACCCTCCCTCAGCATTTCGCTTGGGAGATCATCTCTGCCCGTTGCCTTTCCTAGTCTAAGACTCTGGATCGCCTTCAGTACTTCCTCAACGGATGGCCCCTTCAGCCAGCCACTCACAGACAGACAGACACACAGACAGACACACAGACACAGACAGACACACAGACAGACAGACACAGACAGACACACACACGGAGTGTGATGATGATGACGACGATGATGATGATGATCCTAATCCAAAAAACCATTCCCCGGCGCCAAAGATCTCGGACGAGGACGCACGGACGGACGGAAGGACGGAGGATCGCGGATCCTTGCACGAATCTCCTCACCATAATTTATTGCCATTAATTTAAAACCACAAAAACATAACCGATTCACAAAACGCAAAGACACAAAGATTCCCCCGTGTAGCCTCTAACAGACTGTAGGGGCAAGTGCTCTTAGCGAGCAGCAGCTATGAAGGCCGGCACGGCACACGAGGGGGTGGGTGGCTAGCGCCACCACGCCCGGCCGCCTTTGTCTCCCCAGTGGCGATGTTTACTACATGGGAATCGAACCCGGGTCACGCAACGAAACGCTAACCGCTGCGCCACCGCTCCCCACCGATTTACATGCACACAGGTGTACATACACACACACACACACGCGTGTACACACACACGCGCTCACTCTCCCGGTGGGTTGAAGGAGGGGTGACAATTGGTGGGGTCCAAGATTCGAATCTCTCGCGCGACTCCAGACACGAGACGTTTGACAGAAGCGGCGATTCAATCGGCGATGATCGGTCGCTCGTTAAAAGTAATAAAAAAAAACATCTACCCAGCCCGGCACGCTACGTCAATTACCACACGTCAGGGTCTGGGATCGAACCCACAACCTCCTGCATACCAGGCGAGGTAGTCAACATCTCCTAGCCACTGTTGGCGTCAGGGTCCGGGATCGAAACCACAACCTCCTGCGTACCAGGCAAGGTAGTCAACATCTCCTAGCCAGCGTGGGCGTCAGGGTCCGGGATCGAACCCACGACCTCTTTTATACCAGGCGAGGCAGTCAACATTTGGAGTTCGGGTCTAGGATTGAACCCACAACCTCCTGCATACCAGGCGAGGTAGTTAACATCTCCTAGCCACCGGGGGCGTCAGGGTCGGATTCCAACCCACAACCTCCTGGATACGAGGTGAGATAGGTCAACATCTCCTAGCCACCGTGGATGTAAGGGTCTGGGATCGAACCCATGGCATCCTGTGTACCAGGCGAGGTAGTTAACATCTCCTAGCCACCATGGCGTTACAAATGATTGGCGAGTGCCAGAGGAAGTCTCTTGGCTATGGCTTTGTCTCATCGGTGCCCCTAAGTCAGCGGCTCTTATCCTGTATAGTGTAGTGTATAGTGTAGTGTATAGTACAGGGCAGTGTATAGTGCAGTGTAGAGCGATGATGCTCGTAACGAATTGGCGCAAACATTCACTAATTGTCCGTGTCGGGTGGTGGAGGACTTGACGACACACACAGCATTTATATTCATGCCATCTGACCCTAGCAAAAAAAAATTCCTCGTATACTCTGGAGTATACGCGATTCATTTTTTTTTTTCACTGATTGAGGGGCGCAAAGGCCGAGAATAAGCAGCCTTAGAGTCGGACAAAGCGTCAAGTCCTTCATCTGGAAGTGTCCATTTCTCCGTCTAGGAAGCAACAACTCCTCCATCTCAACAATGATTTGTGCCATGAAGACGTCATCACTACAATAATATAAATATGTTTTAACCCTTTCTGGGAAAAAAAACATGAATTATTTCTCAAGGAAATCCTCCCAGAATTAACCACACACGGCACTTTGTGGTGAACATGCAAACGATTAAACAACACAATGCTCTGTTAGTACATCGATGGCGTTGTCTTTGAAACTGATTGGTCCACACCAGAGACAGCTTTCTATGAGCCTAGTCTCAAACAGTGTTAGATTACACCATTGGTACCTCATTTGCCAGTAAAAAATATGATAATTGGTTTTTTACCCTTTATCTGGCAACAAAACTGACACCTGTTTTACAAGGAGTCATGTTTGCATAGACCACAATACCTGCGGTCATAATGCAAACAAAAAACATAAGGACAGTGCATACATTATCAGGGTTATGTTTTTTTTTGTTTGCATTATGACTGCAGGTATTGTGGTCTATGCAAACATGACTCCTCGTAAAAAGGTGTCAGTTTTGTTGCCAGATAAAGGGTAAAAAAACAATTATCAGTGTTAGATTAGAGAACGCCAAAAGGCGAACAGCACAAGGACCATGCCACTGTCGGGAACATTATAGCTCGAGGCGAGCATGTTCAACACAATTAGCTTGTGTGGTTAATGCGGAGAGGATTTCCTTGAAAAAGGAATTCCGTTTGGTGTTTTAAACATCTCATAACCTTCTATTTTATTTCCAGAAATGGTTAGAAAATACCCTATTGTTTTATTTTGTAACTGGCAAGAAAGTTCCCGTTAATATTATTAGGATCATAATAATACACTATGAGACCTCCTTTACCAGTGGCAAAATATAGTAGTAGGTTTTTACCCTTTAAACTGGTACAAAACTGACACCTTTATACAAGGCATCATGTTTGTAATAACCGCAAACAAAAAGAAACAACTCTGATAATGATATGCACTGTCCTAGAAGTCAATCAACTTCAAGGACAGTGCATATCATTACCATTATCAGAGTTGTTTCTTTTTGTTTGCATTTTGACTGCTTGTGTTGCGGTTATTGCAAACATGATGCCTTGTATAAAGGTGTCAGTTTTGTACCAGTTGAAAGGGTAAAAACCTACTACTATATCATAATAATCGTGACGGTGGTATCGCATCGTCGCGATGTTCTGACATCGCGGGCGACGCAACTAATGGACGCCCCCCCCCCTGCTCCCCCCTTGTTAGGTAATAAAAGTAAAAATTACTGTCGGGAGACCACCTTTACGTAACAACGAGCTGGGTTCCAGAGGTCTGTGATCGTAGGTTGATTTGTCCAACGTAATCTCCTGTCGAGTCCAAACGTGGTGTGCGGAGTGTGCACTACACACGCGGGAATGGCTTTAAAAGTTGTAGAGTCCCCTGTGAATGTAGATGTCACTGGTTCTTCATGTTCTGTAGATGTAGATGCCCCTGGTTCTTCATGTTCTGTAGATGTAGATGCCACTGGTTATTCATGTTCTGTAGATGCCACTAGTTCTTCACGTACTGCAGATGTAGATGCCACTGGTTCTTCATGTACTGCAGATGTAGATGCCACTGGTTCTTCACTTTCTGCAGATGTATATGCCACTGGTTCTTCACGTTTTGCAGATGTAGATGCCACTGGTTCTTCATGTTCTGCAGATGTAGATGCCACTGGTTCTTCATGTTCTGCAGATGTAGATGCCACTGGTTCTTCATGTTCTGTAGATGTAGATGCCACTAGTTCTCCACGTTCTGCAGATGTAAATGCCACTGGTTCTTCACGTTCTGCAGATGTAGATGCCACCTCCACCGCCATCTGTTACTCTGGCCGGTTGAACTTACGACTCGCTATCAGTCCGATCAACTGCAACTGGACATTCGGGCAAGGTCTGTGCGTATCTATCAAAGTTCGTAAGTCAAATACAAGTGGAGGAGTCCCTATAATAATATATGTTCCAGCGTAAAAATAACGTTCGCGCGGAAACTTACAAATCGCCTCACCGTCCCGCGGTGCTAACTCTTAAACAAACAAACAAAACACGACTTTAGGAAGAACGGAACGGGAGCAGGAGGAGGATTTTTCCAACAACTCTGCGGATATCCATCTGATGATGTTGATGGTGATGATGGATGAAGATGATGATGGTGGTGATGATAATGGATGATGGATGAAGATGATGGTGGTGATGATGGATGATGGATGAAGATGATGGTGGTGGTGATGAATGATGATGGATGATGATGGTGGTGATGATGATGGATGATGATGATGGATGATGATTGATGATGATGCTGGATGGATGATGATGCTGGTGGTGATGATGGTGATGCTGGATGGATGAAGATTGATGATGATGGATGAAGATGATGATGATGATGGTGATGCTGGTGGTGATGATGATGGATGATGATGGTGATGCTGGATGGATGATGATTATGCTGGTCGTTGAAATCACCGGGCCGAAACGCCGCACGTGTTGCTCGAATAGTGAATGTGTGTCGCGGGGTTTTAATCTGCGCGTTGCTGTACAAGTAACGAGTTGGCCGCCCGTTTCGTTTACGTGGCAAAACGCTCACTGATAGAAACATATCGGGTGGTGGCGGGTTTAACGACGCATTCATAAACCCACAACAACAACAACAACCGCCATTCGCCACTAAGTGGGGGTGACGTCACCACGACGCTTGTGCCAGGCCACGTGCACCTTGAGGCTACGACGTGAAGTGTCGAACGCCCGCTGGCAGGAGGTCACGGGGCAGACCCAGCAGGTGCCACGGGTCGACTGACTGAGATGACTGAGACGAGTGGCTGATGCACCACCTGTGCCCCCTACTGTGCCAACTTGCTGTGCTTTAGCCACCCGGCGCTCCGCTCGTTGTTGTGAGCGTCGCTCCTCCCCCCTCAGTTGTTGCTGGAGGGCGACTGCCTCCAACTGCCCAGTAGCGTCCTTCACGAGCCTCCTCCACAGAGGCTGATCTTGACACCGCTGGTTCCAGTCATCGGAAAGTCCACTCAGCTACACGTCCTCCTGTACCACATCACTCCATCTCTTCTCTAGCCCTTGCCGCGCCTATTTAGCCCCCTTTATTCGACCGAACAAAAGCTGTTAAGGCATGCGGTGGCTGGGCATGCGGGCTACATAGCCCAGCCAACGCAGCTTTGCCTGCCGGAGGAGCTCACTGATGGGATTGTTCCAAATCTTTCAAGGATTTGTGAGCTCCTCACATAATACAGCCTGGTTAAATCCAGGATTGATCGTAGGCAGGCCAGCCTAAATGTTTCTAAGTTGTTTTCCAAGCAAAAAGAAGAGAGGGAATGACCATGGCCGAGAAGACCCGAAGCTGTGTGTGGAGCGACAGACCAGGTCGCTTCCACACAGCGTTACACAACCGATGAAAAGATAATGCCGCTCGACTGATTCGGAGTGAGACCTCTGCTGTCAAAACGTAGCCGGTCATGAGCACATTGCCCAGGTATGGGAAACTCTCCAATTTCTCCACAACTGCCCCATCACCAATTGGGAGTTGTGGGGGTGGATTGTCTGACAAAATTCCCAGGCAAATGCTTAGTTTTGGTGGGGCTGATGGTAAGGCCCCACCTCTTAGTGGCACGCTCCAGGTTCAGCAGCAGCGCCTCCAACTCCTCCTGAGTGTGCAGCAATTACCAGATCATAGTCTCAGACTCTGGAACGCCTTCAGTATTCCCTCAACAGATGGCACCTCAGCCAGCCACTCACAAGGGGTGACATCTTCCTCCAATATTTGAGGCACCGCAGCCCCTCAGCAGGGTCATATCCCACTTTACCCCGTGTTGTTTTAAAGGCTGAGGGGTTTCCCCCTCCACCAAGGACCTCGCAGAATTGCTCAGCAACATCTGACATAAACGTTTGGCTTAAAGCTTTCGTGACTGCAGGAATTCATATTCTTTGGGTCTTTCGGTAAAGTCACGTAGATGGGATCAAAGAAAATAGCAAAAAAAAACTACGACGTTTCGATCGCAAAGCCAGCGGTCGTCATCAGGAAGATCAGGAAGATGATGAGCGGTTGCGTTGCGATCGACACGTCGTTGTTGTTTTTGTTATTTTCTCTTGAACCCATCTACCTGACTTCACCGAAAGACCCAAAGAATTTGACAAAACCTCTTTCTGGGGGGGTCGGAGATCGGACCGCCGTTCTGTCCCCTAATGATGGCGATAGGTGTGACGCTGCAGGTTACTTTTGTGATGCAGTTAAATAGCGATTTGTGATCGCGGGCTATTGGGGCAGACTCCCAATCCACCACCACCACGTCCACCTCCACCAATTTCATCTCCAACTCCTCCATCACCTCCTCCCCTGCTTTCTCCCCGCTCACAAGCCACTGTTCAGAGTTTCGTAGTCGGAGGAGACATTCAGAAACTTGATGGAGTCTTTTCTGGACGGACGTTTCGAGTGAACCTTCATCTCCGGTTCTCTGCTCTCGGAAGCTGTGGGGGAGAGAGAAAGGCATAAGAGAGAGTTAAGGGAGAGATAAGGGAGAGATCATTGAGAGATAAGGGATAGATAAGGGAGAGATAAGGGAGAAAGAAGGGAGAGATAAGTCGGTGTTTCGTTTTTTGTCTTGAGTGAGTAGGTGAGTGAGTAGGTGAGTGAGTAGGTGAGTGAGTAAGTGAGTGGGTGAGTGAGGCAGTGGATGAGTGAGTGGGTAGGTGGGTGAGTGAGTATGTGAGTGTGTGAGTGAGTAGGTGAGTGTGTGTGTGAGTAGATGAGTGAGTATGTGAGTGAGTAGGTGAGTGAGTAGGTGAGTGTGTGCGTCAATAGGTTAGTGAGCAGGTGAGTGAGTGAGGAGGTGATTGAGCGAGTGAGTGGGTGCATGGGTGGGTGGGTGAGTGACTGTGTGAGTGTGTGAGTAGGTGAGTGAGTATGTGAGTGGGTGAGTAAGTGGGTGACTAGGTAGGTGAGTGAGTGAATAGGTGAGTGAGTGTGTGTGTGAGTAGGTGAGTGAGTGACTGATTGGGTGAGTGAGTGAGTGAATGAGTGGTTGGGTGAGTGAATGGGTGAGTGAGTATGAGTGTGTTGGTGAGTGAATGAGTGTGTGAGCGAGTGGGTGGGTGAGTGATTGGGTAAGTGAGTGGGTGAGTGTGTAGGTCGGTGGATGAGTGAGTGAGAAGATGAGTGGGTGAGTGAATGAGTTGGTAGGTGAGTACGTGAGTGAGTGGCTTGTTAGTGAGTGGGTGAGTGAGTAGGTGATCGAGTATGTGAGTGGATGAGCGAGTGGGTGAGTGAGTTAGTAGGCGAGTGAGTGGGTGAATGAGTGGGTAGGTGAGTGAGTGGCTGAGTGAGTGAGTGGGTGGGTGGGTGAGTGAGTGAGTGAGTAGGTCAGTGAGTAGGTGAGGGAGTGAGTGAGTGGCTTTTTGAGTGAGTGAGTGGGTAGGTGAGTGAGTAGCTTGTTGAGTGAGTGGGTGAGTGGGTGGGTGAGTGGGTGGCTGAGTAGGTGAGTGGGTGGGTGAGTGGGTAGGTGGGTGATTGAGTGGATTAGTAAGTAGGTAGGTGGGTGAGTGGGTGAGTGAGTGGGTTCGTGAGTGGGTAGGTGGCTGAAGTGAGTGGGTGAGTGGGTGGGTGGGTGAGTAGGTGAGTGGGTGAGTGAGTGGGTTAGTGAGTGGGTAGGTTGCTGAGTGAGTGGGTGAGTGGGATGGGTTATTGGGTGGGTGAGTGGATTAGTGATTCGGTAGGTGGGTGAATGAGTGGGTAGGTAGGTGGGTGGGTTAGTGAGTAGATGAATGAGTAGCTGGGTGAGTGTGGTAGGAGGTATGATGTTGAGTGAGGGAGTAGGTCAGTGAGTAGGTGAGTGAGTAGGTGAGTGGATAAGTGACCATGTGATTACCAAACCGGGTGCAGTTCCTCATCCTGACTTGCTAATTCTCACTCTGCCTCTAGAGAGAAGTCTCCATCTCCGGAGTGTCCGTCTCGCTCTCTCTCCATGTTGAGACGTCAACTACCTCGCCTGCTATGCAGGAAGTCGTGGATACGATGTTGAGATGTTAACTACCTCACCTGGTACGCAGGAGGTCGTGGGTTCGATGTTGAAAGTTGACTACCACGCCTGGTACGCAGGAGGTCGTGGGTTCAATGTTGAGATGTTGACTACCTCGCCTGGTACGCAGGAGGTCGTGGGTTCGATGTTGAGATGTTGACTACCTCGCCTGGTACGCAGGAGGTCGTGGGTTCGATGCTAAGATGTTGACTACCTCGCCTGGTACGCAGGAGGTCGTCGGTTTGATGGTGAGATGTTGACTGCTTCGCCTGGTACGCAGGAGGTCGTGGGATCGATGCTGATATGTTAACTGCCTCGCCTGGTAAGCAGGAGATCGTGGGTTCGAAGTTGAGATATTGACTACCTCACCTTAGTACGCAGGAGGTCGTGGGTTCTATTTTGAGATGTTGACTACCTCGCCTGGTACGCCGGAGGTAGTGAGTTCGATCCCAGACACGAACGCTCATGGTGGCTATGAGATTTCGATTTGAAGCTTTCATGACTGCAGGGATTCATCGTCTTATAATAAAAAATGAAACATAAAAAAAGAAAAAAATTCTCACGACGTTTCGGCCACAACACAAGCAGCCGTCCTCAGGTGAAGAAGCAGAGCTGTCGGAAAGACAGCGTCCCAATGAACACCGCCAAGCTTGGCAGCGTATATTTAAGCTGGGTTGGGGAGGAGAGCGCCTTGACAAAGGAGTTTACATATCAACAGCGGAATTAATAGTTTATTACATCCTTCCAATGATTTCTGAGCCAGAGTCCATCTTCTCGGTTGAAATTGTCTCTGTGTTTGTATATGTGGATGGCCTCATGAACGGGTCTTTCATGGTAGCCAGATGGCTTGCAGAGAACCTCCGTCTTTGAGAAGTCAATGCCATGTGAGCCCACTGCATTATAACAATGGTCTGCCATGGCTGAGGTGTTTGTCCTACCGTGTTTCAGGTCTGCTTTATGTTTGCGGATGCGGTCCGAGACATGTCGCTTGGTTTCTCCAATGTAACTGCTACCACAGAGGCAACTTAGTTTGTAGACGCCAGGGTACTGTATGTCTGGAACCACATCTTTTACAGACGGAACCAGATCACGGATTTTATGTACTGTGTTGCATCGGACCTGGATCTCGTGTTTATTCAGAATTTTGGAGATCTTTTTTGTGACCCCCGCAATGTAGGGTAAGGTGATGGTCTTGAATGGCTCCTCAAGAGGATCCTTCTTCATGGTTGGATTGATGGCTTTACAGATTGTGTAGTCAGAGTAACCATTAGCCTTGAGAGCTTGGCGTACGTGCTTGAGTTCACTGGCAATGTGTTCCTGGTCGGAGATGCATTGGGCTCTATGGTGTAGAGTCTTGATGAGGAAATTCTTCTGGGATGGATGGTGGTGGTAATCTGGTTTTAGGTAAGCATCCGTATGGGTAGCTTTCCTGTAGACAGAGTGGCTCATTGAACCATCAGGTCTCCTTTTAATTAGGACATCCAAAAACTGGAAAAAACCACCTCTGTGGTACTAAACTTTACTCACCTGGTATCGACAATCAAGGATATGTCCCTGTCCCCAGACGACCTGCTTTTCAGTTTTGATGTGGTTTCCTTATTCATCAAAGTTCCTGTACCTGACACCATCGCAATCATTGAAGACTTGGTTCATCAAGGACTGAATACTGAGGTACCCCCCTTGGTGAGACACTGCTTAACCAATACATATGTAGAGGAGTAAAATGGGGATGTGACGTCAGGTGTGCCGTTCAGTGTGATGACGTCATGTCTCCTAGGGTACTTAAGGGATACCCCGTGACGTAAGCGGGGTCACTGTGGGAATGGGTAAAGTAAGCAGGGTGAAGGGGGAACCAGTGAGTAGAGAGAGGGAACGAAAAGGGTGTCTGGGGAGAAGCCGGTGGTAGCCGTAGAGGTGCTTCTCTCTCCAGTCGGTGGAGTCGGCAGAGTCCACGATCCGACACGAGAGAGAGAGAGACTGGAGCTAGCCGGCAGGGACCCGGACTCAGAGTAGGACCCCTAGCCCCTGGGAGTTGTGTACCCTGCTGTGTATTATTGTAACAGCTTTAATAAACCCTGGCAAAAGCCCCTAACTTACCTCCGACTCTGAGTACGTCCGTCAGGAACTACTCAACACATACTTCACGTGGAATGGAACTTTCTACAAACAAACTGAGGGCACCCCAATGGGCTCCCCCCTATCTCCGGTTGTAGCCAACGTTTTCATGGAGAAATTTGACGCCATCCAGACTGCCACTCTACGCCCGACCTTATGGAAGAGGTACAGGGATGACACTTTTGTCATCTGGCCACATGGCCGGCCTGATCTAGAACAATTCCTCGACCACATCAATTCCATACACCCAGCCATCAGATTCACCATGGAAGGCATACTCACAGTGAGACTTTGTAGGGTTGACTCGATCCAAACCGGTGCTGCTGGTCCCCTTCTGTCAGACAGAGTGGGGAGGAGAGAGGGGAGAGGAGGGAGGGAGTGAGAAAGACGACAATGACGATGATACACTACACACTATACACTACACACTATACTAGGCACTATACACTACACTATACACTACACACAGTACTACATACTACACTATACACTACACTCTATACTAGACACTACACTATACACTACACTAAACACTACACACTATACTATACACTACACACTGCACTATACAACACACTATACACTACACTATACACTACACTACACACTACTGTAGTCTACACGTTACACTACTATACACAACAATACACTAGACTAGACTTTGCACTACACTATACACTACACTTTCCACTACACTATACACTACTATGCACTACATTACGATACACTACACTATGATACACTACACTACAATACACTACACTACTATGCACTAAACTATACATTTCTATACACTACTATACACTACATTACTATAAACTGCTATACACTACACTGCTATACAGTACACTATACACTACTATACACTACACAGTACACTATAAACTACACTATTTAACACCATACTACTATACACTCCACTTCAATACACTACACAGTACACTATACACTACACAGTACACTATACACTACTATACACTATACCCTACACTACACACTACTATACACTACAACAATACGCTCCAATATGCACTAAACTATACACTACAATACACTAAACAATACACTACACTATTCACTACACTATTCACTATACTATTCACTACACTATACAATGTTTTCTGTGAGCCAATCGCGACAGCACCACGACTCACCGATTTCTGTGTACCCAGTCCAAGCTTCTTCTTTAGCTCATTGCGTACCTGGGCAGAGAGGATTAGAAATTAGTGTCTATGGGTCTCTGTGTGGTGGTGAGTCTATGGGTCTCTGTGTAGTGATGAGTCTATGGGTCTCTGTGTGGTGGTGAGTCTATGTGTCTCTCTGTGGTGGTAAGTTATGGGTCTCTGTGTGGTGGTGAGTTTATGGGTCTCTGTGTGGTGATGAGTCTATGGGTCTCTGTGTGGTGGTGAGTCTATGGGTCTCTGTGTGGTGGTGAGTCTATGGGTCTCTGTGTGGTGATGAGTCTATGGGTCTCTGTGTAGTGGTGGTAAGTCTATGGGTCTCTGAATGGTGGTGAGTCTATGGGTCTCTGTGTGGTGATGAGTCTATGGGTCTCTGTGTAGTGGTGGTAAGTCTATGGGTCTCTGAATGGTGGTGAGTCTATGGGTCTCTGTGTGGTGATGAGTCTATGGGTCTCTGTGTAGTGGTGGTGAGTCTATGGGTCTCTGTGTAGTAGTGAGTCTATGGGTCTCTGTGTAGTGGTGAGTCTATGGGTCTCTGTGTAGTGGTGATGAGTCTATGGGTCTCTGTGTAGTGGTGGTGAGTCTATGGGTCTCTGTGTAGTGGTGAGTCTATGGGTCTCTGTGTAGTGGTGATGAGTCTATGGGTCTCTGTGTAGTGGGTGAGTCTATGGGTCTCTGTGTAGTGGTGGTGAGTCTATGGGTCTCTGTGTGGTGGTGGTGAGTCTATGGGTCTCTGTGTGTACATGTCTATATAACAAAGTAAAGTTTCTATAACAAGAGTGAAGTGTCTATAGGTGAGTGAATTGTCTTCGACTTACCTCTTTGTCGAGGAGGCAGTTAAAGATCAAGATGAAGAGTCCCTGGGGGCGAGAAGAACAAAGACAAAGGTCCCCCGCGTAGCATTAACAGACCGTAGGGGCAAGTGCTGCTAGCGTTGTGTGTGGCACACAGAGGCGCACACGCTTTGACTTGGAGGCGATGTGTGTCTATCATGTCTGCCGGGTACTCGTCTATTGATGGCGTTAATCTAAGTTGGCTTGTGGTTGTGGTTGTTGTTGTTTGACTTGCATCCCACTGGGATTTTTGCACACAGTGTTGGTGTACGCTGCTGTCGTATCCTCAAAAAAGAAATCTTGTAACTCAATTTGTACACACTTCCCAATGTGCCATCGACTGCAAACTTCGTATAGCTACGTCATACTGATGACAACACGATATTCTATCATAAAAAAAATCCAAAACATATATTTTAAAACTTTTTACACGTTTTAATTTAACTTACCGTGTTGTTGTCGTATCCAAAATCTTGTAACTCAATTTCAACCGTATTCCCAATGTCGTATCGACTGTAAACTTGGTTTAGCTATGTCATTCAAGTTCAAGTTCATGTATTAGGTATAGCCCTGTGAGCCATTCGGCTCTTGAATCGGGTGCAACCGCAACAAACAAAAAACAAAAACATGAACAAAAAACATCTTAAAGTGAATATGTGACTAAGTGCAAACAAAAAATCCAAGAAAAGACAGCAAAATATTGCAGAAAAAATCACAGTACACCAACGCTGTGTGCAAAAATCCCAGTGGGATGCAAGTCAAACAACCAACAACACATAGTCACTTTAAGATGTCTTCTTGTTCATGTTTTTGTTTTTTGTTTGTTGCGGTTGCACCCGATTCAAGAGCCAAATGGCTCACAGGGCTACACCAGATACATGAAACTGAAAACTGAAACTATTTTTATTACACGCTTTTATTTAACTCACTCTGTCTGTTGTCGTATCCTCAAATCCTGTAACTCAATTTTAACCCACTTCCCAATGTGGTATCGACTGTAAACTCAGTATACTTATGTCATACTGTTCATAATACCATTTTCTATTGTAAAAATAAAAAAATTAACATTTTTAAACGATCTTTTTACACGCTTTCAACAAACTCACTATTTTAACCCACTTCCCAATGTGGTATCGACCGCAAACTTAGTATTCGTATGTCATATTAATGACAATACTATATTATATCATTAAAAATATATATATATACATCTTTTGTATATGTTAAGAATTGTCCACGCTTAACTGACGTTGGCTGTAAATCACCACGGCCCCTTACTTTGTGGCAAGCTTCAGGCCCACTTCCTGGAGTCGTGGAGTTCTGCCATTACTCGCACGGTACATTTCATTAAAGCGTGTTCTTAAAAAAAGTATTTTTAAATATTACTTTTTTCCGAGTTCATTTCCACTATACACTACACTACTATACACACTACACTACAATATACTGCACTATACACTACACTATACGCTTCACTACTATACACTACACTATACGCGACACTACACTACTATACACTACACTATACGCGACACTACACTACTATACACTACACTACAATATACAGTACTGCACGATACACTACACTATACGCTACACTACTATACACTACACTATACTATACACTACACTATACACTAACACTACAATACACGCTACACTACACTAGTAACTAATTGGCACGTTGTTTACATGACAGACCTTAAATTTCGATTTAAAGCTTTCGTGACTGCAGGGATTCATCTTATTGGTTCTTTCAGTAAAGTCACGTAGAAGGGAAGTAATAAAATAATAAAAATAAAACATAATAAAATAATTCTCACGACGTTTCGGCTACAACGCAAGCAGCCGTCTTCAGGTGAAGAATGAGACACTGCCAAGCTTGGAGCTTATATATAAGCTGGGTTGGATGTGGAAGAAGAGCGCCTTAACAAAAGAATGTGCATGTCAAGAGGAATTTAGCATATTCATGGGAAATGCGTAGGAGGTGGGCGGGGGGGGGGGTTCAAAGTAATATTATGCCCATGCATTATGCAGGATCAGCAGCACCAAAGGGAGGGGAGCAGGGGGTAGCATTAACAAAGGGATGGAATGTTAATAGTATGTACAAGCAATGAAACATGTCCATGGGAGAGCGGTGGCAGGAGACCCGCAGCAGAGCAAATAATGCATTCCCTGTGGAGAACACAAGATACACAGTTAATGCCAGTGAGTGGACTGCGGTCTGAAAGTCACCGTAAACGTGAACAACAACTAGTTAAGATCCGAAATGGTTTATTACGTCCTTCCAATGATTGTTGAGCCAGAATCCATCTTCTCGGTTGAAATTGTCTCTGTGTTTGTATATGTGGATCGCCTCATGAACGAATCTCTCATGGTAGCCAGACGGCTTGCAGAGAACCTCTGTCTTGGAGAAGTCAATGTCATGTGAGCCCACTGAATTGTAACAGTGATCTGCCATGGCTGAGGTGTTTGTCCTACCGTGTTTCAGGTCTGCTTTATGTTCACGGATGCGGTCCAAGACATGTCGTTTGGTTTCTCCAATGTAACTGCTACCACAGAGGAAACTTAGTTTGTAGACGCCAGGGTACTGTATGTCTGGAACCACGTCTTTTACAGACGGGACCAGATCACGGATTTTATGTACTGTGTTAAATCGGACCTGAATCTTGTGTTTAATCAGGATTTTGGAGATCTTTTTTGTGACCCTCAGCAATGTAGGGTAAGGTGATGGTTTTGAAAGGCTCCTCAACAGGATCCTTCTTGATGGTTGGAGTGATGGCTTTACGGATTGTGTAGTCGGAGTAACCATTAGCCTTGAGAGCTTGGCGTACGTGCTTGAGTTCACTGGCAATGTGTTCCTGGTCGGAGATGCATTGGGCTCTATGGTGTAGAGTCTTAATGAGGAAATTCTTCTGGGATGGATGGTGGTGGTAATCTGGTTTTAGGTAAGCATCCGTATGGGTAGAATTCAGTGGGCTCACATGACATTGACTTCTCCAAGACAGAGGTTCTCTGAAAGCCATCTGGCTACCATGAGAGATTCGTTCATGAGGCGATCCACATATACAAACACAGATACAATTTCAACCGAGAAGATGGATTCTGGCTCAGCAATCATTGGAAGGACATAATAAACCATTTCGGATCTTAACTGGTTGTTGTTCACGTTTACGGTGACTTTCAGACCGCAGTCCACTCACTGGCATTAACTGTGTATCTTGTGTTCTCCACAGGGAATGCATTATTTGCTCTGCTGCGGGTCCCCTGCCACCGCTCTCCCATGGACATGTTTCATTGCTTGTACATACTATTAACATTCCCTCCATTTGTTAATGCTACCCCCTGCTCCCATCCCTTTGGTGCTGCTGATCCTGCATAATGCATGGGCATAATATGACTTTGAAACCCCCCCCCCCGCCCACCTCCTACGCATTACCCATGAATATGCTAAATTCCTCTTGACATGCACATTCTTTTGTTAAGGTGCTCTTGTTCCACATCCAACCCAGCTTATATATAAGCTCCAAGCTTGGCAGTGTCTCATTCTTCACCTGAAGACGGCTGCTTGTGTTGTAACCGAAACGTCGTGAGAATTATTTTATTATGTTTTATTTTTATTATTATATCACTTCCCTTCTACGTGACTTTACCGAAAGAACCAAGAAGATGACAGACCTTACTGGCAGCGCCGTGGGTTGGAGGGGGTTTCAGGACGCAGACGTTCGCACCCGCGGCGACCCAACCCCCATCGCGACAGCGCAAATCAACAACAACAACAACAACCACAAACAGCAACAACCACCTACAACAGCAACTTCCCCGCGCTCGCTCGCCCCGCACCTGCAGCGAGTTGAGGATGGCGAAGAGGTAGTGCAGTACGTAGCTGGCCCTGCCCCCGGCGCTGAATGCGAAGATCCCGAGCCCCCACGTGACTCCGAGCAGCGGCGTGAGCACCCCGATGCTCCGGGCGACTAGCCGCACGTTCACGTCGGGGTTCCCCGAGACGACCGCGGACCTCCTCCGCACCACCTTGGCCAGGACGACGACGAGCGCGGTGAGGTTGGCGGCAAGCACGGCGAAGGCCGGCACCACGAACGCGAGCAGCGTCCTGCCGTGCTCCCAGTCGAGCCAGCAGGCTCCGTCGCGCAGGTAGGCCCCGCGGGGGTACGTCGCCGCGACGGCCACCACGGCGATGACCATGGGGACGCCGTAGCCGACGGTGAAGGCCGCGGCGCGGAGTCTGCGGGCGACGAAGCGCTCAAAGACGACGACGACGATGTAGACGAGGAGGAACCCTTCGCAGAGCATCCAGAAGAAGAGGGCGAGGTAGCCCAGGTGGACGAAGAAGGCGGCGGCTGTGCAGAGCGCCGGGCTGGCGAGGGCGTCGGGAGAGGCGGCCACGATGAACCAGACGTCGGCAAAGAGGAGCGACGTGCACACGTTGACGAGGATGAGGTGGCGGAGGCGCCCGTTGGAGCGCCGGGCGGCGCGGCCGCTGGACACCGACGGGCGCCAGGTGATGGCCTCGATGGCGAGGACGGCCACCAGGGACAACATCGAGATGCCGACGCCGACGTAGGAGACGATCGAGAGGTTCGGGTCGTCCACGAGGTCGCCGCCGGGGGAGACGAGGATGGAGAAGGAGGTGGTGTGGTTGCAGCGGCAGGAGAAGGACGTCGCGTTGCCGACGGTGACGTTGGACGTCAGCTGGCAGCCCACGCCGGACCAGCCGCCCCGCCCGTTGTCATACTGGGGGGTGGGCAGGAGAGGGGGGGGGGCAGGGGGGCCGTGAGTCACGGAGATGATACGAGAGTCTTCTTCTTGGTTCTTTCGGTAAAGTCACGTAGAAGGGAAGTAATAAAATAATAAAATAATAAAAATAAAACAATAAAATAATTCTCACGACGTTTCGGCCACAACGCAAGCAGCCCTTCTCAGGTGAAAACCAGGTCTGTCGAGGCGACAGCGTCTGAATGATACGAGAGCCCGACGGGGTGGCTCGGAGATGTTGACGACCTCGCCTGGTACGCAGGAGGTGGTGGGTTCGACCACGTACCCTGACGCCCCACGCTGGCTAGGAGATGTTGGCTTCCTCGCCTGGTACACGGTGGCATCATGGTCGGGATCGAACCCACGACCTCCTGCGTACCAGGTGAGGTCGTCAATGTCTACCTAGTGTGCACCGTGTGTGTCGTCATGCCCCCAACCCCAACCAACACCACCACCCCCACCACCACCACCACCCCCACCACCCCCACCACCTCCACCACCACCCCCACCACCCCCCCCACCACCCCCCCACCACCCCCCCACCACCCCCACCACCACCCCCACCACCCCCACCACCACCACCACCACCCCACCACCACCACCCCACCACCACCCCCACCACCACCACCACCACCCCCACCACCACCACCTGTGTGTCCCAGAAGGTGCATTGGACGACGTTGCCGTTGCCACTGCCATTGCTGGCCACCGTGAGCGGGAAGCGCAGGACGATGTCCGTGACGCCCGTCCAGTTCCTCGGGTTGCTCACGACGGTGCTGAGGATGTGGCTCCCCACGACCCGGCTCGACACGGAGCCAGTGGAGCCAGCGGAGCCGTTCAGGTCGGGGGTCAGCCGGAGAGGCAGGACTCCAGCCAAGGTCCTGTACGCCCCGTCCACCCGTCCCACAAACACACACACAGACACACACACACAGACACACACACACAGACACACACACACATACACACACACACAGACACACACACACATACACACACACACAGACACAACACACACGCATACACACACAGAGACACAGACACACAGATACACACACATCAACACACACACATAGACCCACACACATACACACACACACAGACACACACAACAACAACAACCGCCATTCGCCACTAAGTGGCGGTGACGTCACCACAACGCTTGTGCCAGGCCAAGTGCACCTTGAGGCCACGTGAAGTGTCGAACGCCCGCTGGCAGGAGATCACGGGGCAGACTCAGGTGCCACGGGTCGACTGACTGAGATGACTGAGACGACTGGCTGATGCACCACCTGTGCCCCCTACTGTGCCAACTTGCTGTGCTTTAGCCACCCGGCGCTCCGCTCGTTGTTGTGAGCGTCGCTCCTCCGCCCTCCGTTGTTGTTGGAGGGTGACTGCCCCCAACCGGTTCGGATAATATAATATACGCTTTGTGTGGTTAATGCTGAGTGGGTGGGTGCGCGAGTGGCTGAGTGAGTGATTAAGTGAGTGGGTAAGTGAGTGGGTGAGTGAGTGAGTGGGAGAGTGAGTAAGTGGCTGAGTAAGTGGCTGAGTGAGTGGGTGAGTGAGTGGCTGAGTGAGTGATTAAGTGAGTGGGTGAGTGAGTGGGTGAGTGAGTGAGTGAGTGGGTGAGTGAGTGAGTAAGTGGCTGAGTGAGTGGGTGAGTGAGTGGGTGAGTGAGTGAGTGAGTGAGTGGGTGAGTGAGTGGGTGAGTGAGTGAGTGAGTGAGTGAGTGGGTGAGTGAGTGAGTGAGTGGGTGAGTGAGTGAGTGAGTGGGTGAGTGAGTGAGTGAGTAAGTGAGTGGGTGGGTGAGTGAGTGGGTGAGTGAGGGGCTGATTGAGTGGGTGAGTGAGTGAGTGAGTGGGTGAGTGAGTGAGTGGGTGAGTGAGTAAGTGAGTGGGTGGGTGAGTGAGTGGCTGAGTGAGGGGCTGAGTGAGTGGCTGAGTGAGTGGCTGAATGAGAAAGTTGGTGAGTGAGTGAGTGGCTGAGCGAGTGGGTGAGTGAGTGAGTGTCTGAGTGAGTGGATGAGTGAGCGAGCGACTCACGTGAAGAGCATGCTCACGACGTAGGTGCCGCCGCTGCCGCCGCCGTCGTTAGTGACGTTGTTCAGCTGCTCCTCACCGATCGTCACTGCAGTCTCCCCGGCGACTCCGTCGCCCGCGAACACCTTGGAGTAGTTGCCTCCCTGGGCAGCGCCGGCCCTGACGAGGACGGTGCCCAGCAGCCGCACGTTGGCGCTGGTTATGTTGAACGTCGACGGGACGTCGGCACCGGCACCTTCGGGGGGGAGGGAAATCGGTGAGCGGGAGGAGAGGGAAGGGGGGGGACGTGCAGGAGATGGTGACTGCCTCGCCTGGTACGCAGGAGGTCGTGGGTTCGATGTTGAGATGGTGACGACATCACCTGCTTTACAGGAGGTCGTGGGTTCGATGTTGAGATGGTGACGACATCGCCTGGTTTACAGGAGGTCGTGGGTTCGATGTTGAGATGGTGACGACATCGCCTGGTTTACAGGAGGTCGTGGGTTTGATGTTGAGATGGTGACGACATCGCCTGGTTTACAGGAAGTCGTGGGTTCGATGTTGGACCCTAAAACCACGGTGGCTAGGAGATGTTAACTAGCTCGCCTGGTATGTAGGAGGTGGTGGGTTCGATATTGAGATGTTGACTACATTGCCTGGTTTACAGGAGGTCGTGGGTTCGTTCCCGGACCCGAACACCACGGTGGCTAGGAGATGTTAACTACCTACCCTGGTACGCAGGAGGTCGTGGGTTCGATCCCGGACCCTGACACCTGTTGTGTATTTGGAGTTTGCGTCTCTCTCTCTCCCCTTGGTCGAGGGAATTTTTCTCCTGGTGCCGTCCAGCGTCTCCCTGATTCTACGCGTGTCTCCCCGTGTCTCTTAGTGTCTCCCCCGTGTCTCCCCGTATCTCCCCATGTCTCTCAGTGTCTCCCAGTGTCTGTACCTGTCTATCTGAGCCTCCACATTTCCCCCCCTGTCTCCCAGTGTCTCCTCGTGTCTCCCAATCTCTCTCGCTGTCTCCCAGTGTCTCCTCATGTCTCCCAGTCTCTCTCGCTGTCTCCCAGTGTCCCCCCGTGTCTCCCCGTGTCTCCCAGTGTCTCTCCGTGTCTCCCCGTGTCTCCCAGTGTCTCCCAGTGTCTCCTCCTGTCTCCCAGTGTCTCCCCCTGTCTCCCCGTGTCTCCCAGTGTCTCCCAGTGTCTCCCAGTGTCTCCCAGTGTCTCCCCGTGTCTCACAGTGTCTCCCCCTTTCTCCCCCTGTCTCCCAGTGTCTCCCAGTGTATCTCCGTGTCTCCCAGTGTCTCCCCCTGTCTCCCAGTGTCTCCCCGTGTCTCCCCGTGTCTCCCAGTGTCTCCCAGTGTCTCCCAGTGTCTCCCCATGTCTCCCAGTGTCTCCCCGTGTCTCACAGTGTATCCCACTGTCTCCCCCTGTCTCCCAGTGTCTCCCAGTGTCTCCCAGTGTCTCCCCGTGTCTCCCAGTGTCTCCCCTATCTCCCAGTGTCTCCCCATGTCTCCCAGTGTCTCCCCGTGTCTCCCCGTGTCTCCCCGTGTCTCCCAGTGTCTCCTCATGTCTCCCAGTCTCTCCCCCTGTCTCCCAGTGACTCCCAGTGTCTCCCCATGTCTCCCAGTGTCTCCCCGTGTCTCCAAGTGTCTCCCAGTGTCTCCCCGTGTCTCACAGTGTCTCCCACTGTCTCCCCCTGTCTCCCAGTGTCTCCCCGTGTCTCCCCGTGTCTCCCAGTGTCTCCCCCTATCTCCCAGTGTCTCTCCCTGTCTCCCCGTGTCTCCCAGTGTCTCCCCGTGTCTCCCAGTGTCTCCCAGTGTCCTCCCCGTGTCTCACAGTGTCTCCCCCTTTCTCCCCCTGTCGCCCAGTGTCTCCCAGTGTATCTCCGTGTCTCCCAGTGTCTCCCCCTGTCTCCCAGTGTCTCCCCGTGTCTCCCCGTGTCTCCCAGTGTCTCCCAGTGTCTCCCAGTGTCTCCCAATGTCTCCAAGTGTCTCCCAGTGTCTCCCCGTGTCTCACAGTGTCTCACAGTGTCTCCCCTTGTCTCCCCCTGTCTCCCAGTATCTTCCAGTCTCTTCCGATGTCTCCCCGTATCTCCCAGTGTCTCCCTGTGTCTCCCCGTGTCTCCTCATGTCTCCCCTGTATCTCCCCCAATGGCTCCCCGTATATCCCGATATTTCCCCGTGTCTCTCCCGATGACTCCCGTTGACTCCCCCGTGTGTCTCCAAGTGTCTCCCCCGTGTGTCTCCCCGTGTCTCCCCCGTGTGTCTCCCCGTGTCGCCCCGTATATCCCAGTATCTTCATCCCACCCCCACACCCGCCCACATGCTCACGTGTGCCCGTGGCGAGGTTCGTGGTGTTCATCCTCGTCACGAAAGTCTCCACGTTGCCGAGGAGGTCGGCGCTGTCCGACTCATTCAGCGTCTGCAGCGACTTCCAGGAGGGCAAGTTGCTTGTCGCCAGCAAGTTGCTCGCTGTGACGAGGAAGCTCTGTCGGGAGGTGGCACGGCGGGGAAAGTCACTGTACACTACACTATACACTACACTACTATACACTACACTACTATACACTACACTAATATACACTACACTACTATACACTGCACTATACACTACACTACTATACACTACACACTACACTACTATACACTACACTATACATTGCACTACTATACACTACACTACTATATACTACATTATACACTACACTATACACTACACTACTATACACTACTATACACTACACTATACATTACACTACTATACACTACTATACACTACACTATATACTACACTGTACACTACACTATATAATACACTACTATACACTACATTATACACTACACTACTATACACTACACACTATACACTACACTACACACTACACTATACACTACTATACACTACACTACACACTACACTACTATACACTACACTACACACTACACTACACTCTACACTACACTCTACGCTACACTATACACTACACCACGGCACACTGGGGCTCACCTCCGCCACCTGCTTGCCGAAGACGATGCTCTTGTTCTGGGTCGCCATCGTGATCAGACGCAGCGCCTCGCTCGCAGAGCGGATGCTGTCGGGGGTGAGGCTGCCCCCCGCAGGGTTCGTCTGCATGGTGAGGTTTTGCAGCAGGATGGGAACCGCCTTCTCCACCTTTTGCTTAGGCTGGTTTTGTAAATCCTGTGGGGAGGTGAGAGATGCATATACAGTGTAATGTATAGTGTAGTTTATAGTAGTGTATAGTGTATAGTAGTGTGTAGTGTAGAGTGTAGTGTAGTGTATAGTGTAGTGTAGAGTGTAGTGTATAGTGTAGTGTAGAGTGTAGTTTATAGTGTCGTGTATAGTGTAGTGTATAGTAGTGCAGTGTATAGTAGTGTAGTTTATAGTGTAGTGTATAGTGTAGTGTATAGTGTAGTTTATAGTAGTGTAGTGTATAGTAGTGTAGTGTATAGTAGTGTATAATGTAGTGTATAGTAGTGTAGTGTATAGTGTAGTGTATAGTAGTGTCGTGTATAGTATATAGTGTATTGTAGTGTAGTTTATAGTGTCGTGTATAGTAGTGTATAGTGTAGTGTATAGTAGTGTAGTGTATAGTAGTGCAGTGTATAGTAGTGCAGTGTATAGTAGTGTAGTTTATAGTGTAGTGTATAGTAGTGTAGTGTATAGTGTAGTGTAGTTTATAGTGTGTATAGTGTAGTGTATAGTAGTGCAGTGTATAGTAGTGTAGTTTATAGTGTAGTGTATAGTATTGTAGTGTATAGTGTAGTGTTTAGTGTATAGTGTAGTGTATATTACAGTGTATAGTAGTGTAGTGTATAGTGTAATTTATAGTGTAGTGTACAATAGTAGGGTGTATAGTAGTGTAGTGTATAGTAGTGTAGTGTATAGTAGTGTAGTTTATAGTAGTGTAGTGTATAGTAGTGTAGTCTATAGTAGTGTATAGTGTGTGTATAGTAGTGTATAGTGTAGTGTATAGTAGTATAGTGTATAGTAGTGTATAGTGTAGTGTATAGTAGTGTCGTGTATAGTAGTGTAGTGTATAGTGTAGTGTATAGTAGTGTATAGTGTAGTGTATAGTAGTGTATAGTGTGGTGTATAGTAGTGTAGTGTATAGTAGTTCATAGTGTAGTGTATAGTAGTGTAGTATATAGTAGTGTATAGTGTAGTGTATAGTAGTGTAGTGTATAGTAGTGTAGTGTATAGTAGTGTTTAGTGTAGTGTATAGTAGTGTATAGTGTAGTGTATAGTAGTGTAGATTATAGTGTAGTTTATAGTGTAGTGTATAGTGTAGTGTAGTGGTCAGTGAGGTTCTTGAGAAGGAGAGGTGGGGGTGGTCACGGATTGCTGAGGAGTAGAGTTTGTCTCAGCAGCCAACGATCACAAATCACTCTTCAATTTCATCAAAAAAGTAACCTGCAGTGCCACACCTATCACCATCATTAGGGGAAAGAACTGTGATCCAATCTCCGACCCCCAGGAACAGGTTTGCAGATTTTGCTGAGCATTCCTGTGCAGTCCTGGGGGAGATGAAATCCCTCCACATGGAAAACATCGTGCGACAAAGTGGGGATGACCCTGCTGAGGCTGCGGTGCCTGAAATATTGGAAGAAGAAGTCACCCCCTGTGAGTGGCTGGCTGAGGTGCCATCTGTTGAGGAAGTACTGAAGGCGATCCAGAGTCTGAGACGAGGAAAGGCACCGGGCAGAGATGATCACCCAAGCGAAATGCTGAGAGTGGCGTTTGTGCACAGAGTGCACTACATGATATCATACCTAAAATCTGGACCACTGGACAGGTTCCGCAGGATTGGAAGGATGCCCTGGTGGTCCCCCTCTTTAAGAAGGGAGACCGCACAGACTGTAACAACTACAGGGGCATCTCACTCCTCAGTGTGCCGGGAAAGGTCTTGGCAAGGATTACTCAACATCGCCTTGCTAGGCACGCTGAGGGGAGGCTTGTGGAGCCCCAATGTGGTTGCAGGAAAGGGCGGTCCTGCACAGATGCCATATTTTCTGTCCGTTTGCTACAGCAGAGGTGTAGGGAATTCCAACAAGACCTACATCTCTGCTTTATTGACCTGGTCAAGGCCTATTCCATCAGTCAGCCTGGGCTCTGGGTTGTTCTTCACATTTTTGGAGTCCCTGACCCTCTGCTCACGATCATTAAGGACCTTCATGATGGTGAGCTGGCCCAGGTAAAGCTACGTGGCTGGGAGTCAGAGCCTTTTCCTGTTCACCTTGGGGTGCGACATTGATGTCCTCTGGCTCCAACATTATGTAACATATTTTTCGAGCACGTAGTTCACGAAGCCTTCTATGGCTTGTCAGGAGGCTGACTGATGCCCGGTGCGGTCCAAATGGCTCCATATTGGTCAACCACGTTATGTATGCCAATGATTTGATAATTGCTGCTTACTCAGAGGAGGAGTTGGAGGTGTTGCTGCTGAACCTGGAGCGTGCCAATAACAGGTGGGCCTTACCATCAGCCCCACCAAAACTAAGCACCTGCCTGGGTATTTTATACCATCAGACACTCCACCCCCACAACTCACAATTGGTGATGGAGCAGTTGTGGAGAGAGTGGAGAGTTTCCCATACCTGGGCAGTGTGCTCATGACCAGCTCTGGTTTAACACGAGATGTCTCACTCCGAATCAGTTGAGCAGCATTATATTTTCATCAGATGTGCAATGATGTGTGGAAGCTACCTGGTCTGTCGCTCCACACTAAATTTTGGGTCTTCTCGGCCACAGTCATTCCCTCCCTTCTCTACATTTGCAAAACGTGGACCCCCGTAATGGAACATCTGCGCTGGTTAGAAACTTTCAGTCTGGCATGCCTACGATCCCTCCTGGGTTAAATCTGCAGGCTGGATTGTGTAACGAGCTCATAAATCCTTGAAAGATCTGGACACATTCCCATCGGTGAACCCCTCCGGCAGGCAAGTCTTTATTGGCTGGGTCATGTAGCCCGCATGTCCAGCCACCGCATGCATAAACAGCTTTTGTTCGGCCAGATAGAGCTACTGGGCAGTTGGAGGCAGTCGCCCTCCAACAACGGAGGGCGGAGGAGCGACGCTCACAACAACAAGCAGAGCGCCGGGTGGCTAAAGCACAGCAGGTTGGCACAGTAGGGGGCACAGGTGGTGCATCAGCCAGTCATCTCGGTCATCTCAGTCAGTCGACGCGTGGCACCTGCTGGGTCTGCCCCGTGACCTCCTGTCAGCAGCGAGCCTTTGACACTTCACGTGGCCTCAAAGTGCACCTAGCCTGGCACAGGCGCCGTGGTGACATCACCGTCACTTACTGGCGAATGGTGCGGACATTGGTGTTGGTGATAGTGGTGGTGTTGTTGGTGATGGTGGTGATTGTTATGATGGTGATTGTGATGATGGTGGTGGTAATGATGGTGATAATGGTGGTGATGATGGTGATGGTGGTTCTGGTGTCGATGGTGATGATGGTGATGGTGGTGACTATAGTGGTGGTGGTAATGGTGGTGGTGGAGATGATGATGATGATGGTGGTGGTGGTAATGATACTCACCTTCGATTGATTTAAGATTTCATTAAGCCTCTCAGTGGTGACGTTAGTGGTGGTACCTGCGGACGGTCATCAATGGGACAGAGTCAGGATTTGGATTGAACCCACGACCTCCTGCGCACCAGGCGAGGTAGTCAACATCTCATAACCCCCCTCCCCATCTCTCACCACGTACCGTTGATGTTGAAGTCCCGGACGACCGGAACTCCGGCCGCTATCAAAGCGTCAATGGCAGAAGAGGTCAAGGTAGTGACTTCGGAGTCGGTGAGGCTGTAGCCACTCACGTTCGAGGATGCCAGGACACTGCCGGGCCTGCAATGACGGGGAGAGAGAGACATGCGGGGAGTGGGTGAGTGGGTGGGTGAGTGAGTGAGTGGGTGGGTGGGTGAGTGAGTGGGTAGGTGGGTGAGTGGGTGGGTGGGTGAGTGGGTGGGTGGGTGAGTGAGTGGGTAGGTGGGTGAGTGGGTGGGTGAGTGGGTGGGTGAGTGGGTGAGTGGGTGGGTGAGTGGGTGGGTGAGTGGGTGAGTGAGTGAGTGAGTGGGTGAGTGAGTGTGTAGGTGGGTGAGTGAGTTGGTAGGTGGGTGAGTGAGTGGGTAGGTGGGTGAGTGAGTGGGTAGGTGGGTGAGTGCGTGAGTGAGTGGGTAGGTGGGTGAGTGTGTGGGTGAGTGAGTGAGTGGGTTAGTGAGTGAGTGGGTAGGTGGGTGAGAGGGTAGGTGGATTATTGAGTGGGTTAGTGAGTAGGTAGGTGGGTGAGTGAGTAGGTGAGTGAGTGGGTTCGTGAGTGAGTGGGTAGGTGGGTGAGTGGGTGAGTAAGTGAGTGGGTGAGTAGGTGAGTGGGTGGATGGATGGGTGGGTGAGTAGGTGAGTGGGTGAGTGGGTGGCTGAGTAGGTGGGTGGGTGGCTGAGTATGTGAGTGGGTGGCTGAGTGGGTGGTTGAGTGGGTGAGTGGGTTCGTGAGTGGGTAGGTGGCTGAGTGAGTGGGTGGCTGAGTTGGTGGGTGGGTGAGTAGGTGATTGGGTGGGTTAGTGGGTGGGTGAGTGAGTGGGTTAGTGATTGGGTAGGTGGGTGAATGAGTGGGTAGGTAGGTGGGTGGGTTAGTGAGTGGATGAATGAGTAGCTGGGTGAGTGTGGTAGGAGGTAGGCAGGTGAGTGAGTGGGTGGGTGATTGGTTGGGTGGGTGGGTGAGTGAGTGAGTTAATGGCTGGATGGGTTATTGAGTTAGTGAGTGTGTTATTTAGTGAGTGGGATAGTGAGTGGGTGAGTTGGTAAGCGAGTGAGAGAGTGATTGAACGTGTGATAAAGTAAGGGGGTGATTGAGTGAATGGGTGACTGAGTGGGTGAGTTAGTGGTGGTGTGGGTGGGTGAGTGAGTGGGTTAGTGAGCGAGTGATTGGGTGGGAGAGTGTGTGAATGGGTGAGTGAGTGGCTGGGTGGGTGAGTGATTGGTTGAGTGGGTGGATGGGTGGGTGAGTGAGTGGTGAGTAGTGAGTGGGTTAGAAGGTGAGCGGGTGAGTGAGTGGCATAGTAGTTAGGAAGGTGAGCGAGTGGGTGATCGGTTTCGTGGGTGAATTCATTAAAGAGTGAATGGGTTTGTGAGATAGTGAGTGGGGTAGTTAGTGATGGGGATAGTTGAGTGGGTGAGTGGGTAAGTGAGTGAGAGAGTGATTGAACGTGTGATAGAACAATTGGGTGAATTAGTGAGTGGGTGATTGAGTGAGCGTGCGATTATGTGAGTGGATGAGTGGTCTATGGTGCAGTGTTGGGTCTCAATGCTGAGTCTATGGTGCAGTGTTAAGTTTATGGGTAACATTGTTGAGTCTATGGGAAGCAGTGTTGAGTCTATGGGTAGCAATGTTGAGTCTATGGGTATCAGTGTTGAGTCTATGGGAAGCATTGTTGAGTCTATGAGTAGCAGTGTTGAGTATATGAGTAGCATTGTTGAGTCTATGGGTAGCAGTGCTAAGTCTATTGTGCAGTGCTGAGTCTATGGTGTTGTGTTGAGTCTATGGGTAGCAGTGTTGAGTCTATGGTGCATTGTTGAGTCTACGGTGCAGTGCTGAGTCCATGCGTAGCAGTGTTGAGTCTATGGTGCAGTGTTGAGTCTATGGTGCAGTGCTGAGACTATGGTGCAGTGTTGAGTCTCAGTGCTGAGTCTATGGTGCAGTGCTGAGTCTATGGGTAGCAGTGTTGAGTCTATGGTGCATTGTTGAGTCTACGGTGCAGTGCTGAGTCCATGCGTAGCAGTGTTGAGTCTATGGTGCAGTGTTGAGTATATGGGTAGCAGTGTTGAGTCTATGGTGCAGTGCTGAGTCTATGATGCAGTGTTGAGTCTATGGTGCAGTGTTGAGTCTATGGTGCAGGATTGAGTCTATGGTGCAGTGCAGAGTCTATGGTGCAGTGTTGAGTTTTTTGTGCAGTGCTGAGTCAATGGTGCAGTGTTGAGTCTATGGTGCAGGATTGAGTCTATGGTGCAGTGCTGAGTCTATGGTGCAGTGCTGAGTCTATGGTGCAGTGTTAAGTCTATGGTGCAGTGTTGAGTCTATGGTGCAGGATTGAGTCTATGGTGCAGTATTGAGTCTATGGTGCAGTGTTGAGTCTATGGTGCAGTGTTGAGTCTATGGTGCAGTGCTGAGTCTATGGTGCAGTGTTGAGTCTATGGTGCAGTGCTGAGTCTATGGGCAGTGTTGAGTCTATGGTGCAGTGTTGAGTCTATGGTGCAGTGTGAGTCTATGGTGCAGTGCTGAGTCTATGGTGCAGTGCTGAGTCTATGGTGCAGTGTTGAGTCTATGGTGCAGTGTTGAGTCTATGGTGCAGTGCTGAGTCTATGGTGCAGTGTTGAGTCTATGGTGCAGTGCTGAGTCTATGGTGCAGTGTTGAGTCTATGGTGCAGTGTTGAGTCTACGGTGCAGTGTTGAGTCTATGTGCAGTGTTGAGTCTATGGGCAGTGTTGAGTCTATGGTGCAGTGTTGAGTCTATGGTGCAGTGCTGAGTCTATGGTGCAGTGTTGAGTCTATGGTGCAGTGTTGAGTCTATGGTGCAGTGTTGAGTCTATGGTGCAGTGTTGAGTCTATGGTGCAGTGTTGAGTCTACGGTGCAGTGTTGAGTCTATGTGCAGTGTTGAGTCTATGGGCAGTGTTGAGTCTATGGTGCAGTGTTGAGTCTATGGTGCAGTGCTGAGTCTATGGTGCAGTGTTGAGTCTATGGTGCAGTGTTGAGTCTATGGTGCAGTGTTGAGTCTATGGTGCACTGTTGAGTCTATGGTGCAGTGTAGAGTCTATGGTCCCAGTGGTCGTGGAGTGATGCGAGTTTGAGCCGTCCTCACCGGAAGTTTAAGATCCCCACTTCCACGAACCGAGACCCGAGGCTCTGATAGGAGCTGATGAGCTGTGGGGAGGTGGTGGGTGGGTGGAGGTGGGGGGGGGGAGTAGTGGGGGGGAGAGCCATGTCAGCAAACGCAATCGTTTATTTCATTATCGTTGTCACAGACCCACAAGGACACAGAATGTGCCCTGTGGGGTCACGGGGAGAGAGCCATCGCATAGTGTAGTGTAGTGTGTGGTGTATAGTGTAGTGTATAGTGTATGGTGTAGTGTGTAGTGTAGTGTGTTGTGTTTATTGTAGTGTATAATAGTGTAGTGTATAGTGTAGTGTGTAGTGTAGTGTATAGTGTAGTGTGTGGTGTGTAGTGTAGTGTGTTGTGTATAGTGTAGTGTGTAGTGTAGTGTGTGGTGTGTGGTGTGTAGTGTAGTGTGTGGTGTGTAGTGTAGTGTGTAGTGTAGTGTATAGTGTAGTGTAGTGTATAGTGTAGTGTATAGTGTAGTGTATATTGTAGTGTAGTGTGTAGTGTGTGGTGTAAAGTGTAGTGTATAGTGTAGTGTGTAGTGTGTGGTGTGTAGTGTATAGTGTAGTGTATAGTGTAATGTGTGGTGTATAGTGTAGTGTATGGTGTGTATTGTATAGTGTAGTGTGTGGTGTTTAGTGTAGTGTGTGTAGTGTGTGGTGTATAGTGTAGTGTATATTGTAGTGTGTGGTGTGTAGTGTATAGTGTAGTGTGTGGTGTGTAGTGTGTAGTGTGTGGTGTATAGTGTAGTGTAGTGTGTGGTGTATAGTGTATAGTGTAGTGTGTGGTGTGTAGTGTAATGTGTGGTGTGTAGTGTATAGTGTAGTGTATTGTGTTTATTGTAGTGTATAGTGTAGTGTGTGGTGTATAGTGGAGTGTGGTGTATAGCATATTATAGTGTGTAGTGTGTAGTGTATAGTGTAGAGTGGTGTGTGGTGTATGGTGTAGTGTATAGTGTAGTGTATATTGTCGTGTTTAGTGTGGTGTGGTGTACAGTGTTTTGTATGATAGTGTAGTGTACTGTGTAGTGCAGTGCCTAGTAGAGTAGTGTAGTATAGAATATTGTAGTGTTCATTCGTGTCGTGTATAGTGCAGTGTATTTTACTGCATAGTGTAGTGTGTATAGTTTCGTATATTGTGTAGTGTGGTTTATAGTGTAGTGGAGTGTGTATGGTGTAGAGTGTATTCTAGTGTATAGTGTAGTGTACAGTAGTATATAGTCGTTTAGTGTCGTGTCATGTATAGTGTTGTGTATTGTCCCATTGGTGAGCTCCTCCGGCAGGCAAGGCTGCGTTGGCTGGGTCATGTAGCCCGCATGCCCAGCCACCGCATGCCTAAACAGCTTTTATTCGGACTGATAGAGTGGGCTAAACGGGCGCGGCACGGGCTAGAGAAGAGATGGAGTGACGTGGTACAGGAGGACGTGGAGCTGAGTGGACTTGCCGATGACTGGTACCAGCAGTGTCAAGATCGGCCTCTGTGGAGGAGGCTCGTGAAGGACGCTACTGGGCAGTTGGAGGCAGTCGCCCTCCAACAACAATGGAGGGCGGAGGAGCAACGCTCACAACAACGAGCGGAGCGCCGTGTGGCTAAAGCACAGCAAGTTGGCACAGTAGGGGGCACAGGTGGTGCATCAGCCAGTCATCTCGGTCAACTCAGTCAGTCGACCTGTGGCACCTGCCAGCGGGCGTTCGACACTTCACGTAGCCTCAAGGTGCACATGGCCTGGCACAAGCGCCGTGGTGACGTCACCCTCACTTAGTGGCGAATGGCGGTTGTTCTTGTTGTATAGTGTATAGTAGTGCAGTGTATAGTAGTGTAGTGTATAGTGTGTAGTGTATTTTGTGCAGTGTATAGTGTAGTGTGTAGTGTATAGTGTATCGTAGAGCCGTGTGGTGTACAGTGTCAATTTTAGTGTCGTGTTGTTATGTTTCTGGATGAGTATGGGTCTCTCTCTATGTATCTCTATGTGTCTTTATCATAGTTCTATATGAGTATGTGTCTCTGTGAGTATGGGTCTCTGGGTCTGTGTGGGTCTCTATGAGTATGGGTCTCTGGGTCTGTGTGGGTCTCTATGAGTATGGGTCTCTGTGGATCTGTATGGGTCTCTATGAGTATTTGTCTCTGTGGGTCTGTATGGGTCTCTGTGAGTATGGGTCTTTGTAGGCCTGTATGGGTCTCTGAGTATGGGTCTCTGTGGGTCTCTATGAGTCTCTATAAGTATGAGTCTCTGTGGGCCTGTATGGGTATCTGTGAGTATTTGTCTCTGTGGGTCTGTATGGGTCTCTCTGAGCATGAGTCTCTGTGGGCCTGTATGGGTCTGGTGAAACGACAAGTGAAGTGAGTTTATACCAGAGGTCGCAAACGGGTTTTGATTCCTTACCCGTACCCGCACCTGTACCCGGCCGCACCAGGGTCGCAAACGGCTACCCGTACCCGTACCCGGCCGGGTACGGGTAGCCGGGTATCGGGTAGGGTATGGGTATCGGGTACCCGATTGCGACCTCTGGTTTATACTTCGCCGTTGTGAGATGTCTTACGCTGGGTAGAAGCCTGTTGGACATGGTCCTGTAATCCAGCGAGTTTGGGTCACTCAGGGCAGAGTTGAAGACTTCATTGATTGTCAGCGTCACTGGGACCACCTTGAGGTCTGTGGGAAACAAAGACAAAGATTAGTGGTATTGAGAAGCATAACAGACACACACACAGACACACTCAAAGATAAACAAAGATCCCCCCGGATATCCTCTAACAGACTGTTGGGGCAAGTACTGTTAGCGAGCACCTATGAAGGCCGTAACAGCGCATGAGGGCATGGGTAGCCGGAAAATACACTCAGTCACCTTTGTCTCCACAGTGGCGATGTTTACACACCGCACCAGGTATTAATTTGAGGCTGAGTCGACTTAGGGGAGGCCCACGACCGGTTCAGACAATCGTCACTGGTGATGTTGGCCGTGAGCGGGAATCGAACTTTGGTCTCTTACTGGGGTCGTAGCGCTAACCACCGCCCCACGGATTCCCACTCACACTCACCAACTCATACAATCGCACATACACATACTCATCCAGACGTACAAACTCCACTCACTCACTCTGTAGAACAGGGGGAGATCATACAAACTGCACTCACTCACTCTGTAGAACAGGGGGAGATCATACAAACTCCACTCCACTCCACTCACTCTGTAGAACAGGGGGAGATCATACAAACTCGACTCACTCACTCTGTAGAACAGTGGTAGATCATACAAACTCCACTCACTCACTCTGTAGAACAGGGGGAGATCATACAAACTCCACTCACTCACTCTGTAGAACAGGGTGAGATCATACAAACTCCACTCACTCACTCTGTAGAACAGGGGGAGATCATACAACTCCACTCACTCGCTCTGTAGAACAGGGGAAGATCACACAAACTCCACTCACTCACTCTGTAGAACAGGGGGAGATCACACAAACTCCACTCACTCACTCTGTAGAACAGGGGGAGATCACACAAACTCCACTCACTCACTCTGTAGAACAGGGGGAGATCATACAAACTCCACTCACTCGCTCTGTAGAACAGGGGAAGATCACACAAACTCCACTCACTCACTCTGTAGAACAGGGGGAGATCACACAAACTCCACTCAGTCACTCCGTACAACAGGGGGAGATCATACAAACTCCACTCACTCACTCTGTAGAACAGGGGGAGATCATACAAACTCCACTCCACTCCACTCACTCTGTAGAACAGGAGGAGATCTTACAAACACCACTCACTCTGTAGAACAGGGGGAGATCATACAAACTCCACTCACTCACTCCGTACAACAGGGGGAGATCATACAAACTCCACTCACTTACTCTGTAGAACAGGGGGAGATCATACAAACTCCACTCACTCGCTATGTAGAACAGGGGGAGATCATACAAACTCCACTCACTCTGTAGAACATGAGGAGATCACACAAACTCCACTCACTCACTCCGTACAACAGGGAGAGATCATACAAACACCACTCACTCACTCTGTGGAACAGGGGGAGATCATACAAACTCCACTCACTCACTCTGTAGAACATAGGGAGATCACACAAACTTCACTCACTCACTCTGCAAAACAGTTGGAGATAATTCAAACTCCACTCACTTGCTCACTCTGTAGACACATGGGTGAGATCACACAAACTCCAGATTGACAAGAGGCATTCCAAGTCGGGAATGGACCCAAATGCCCCCGTTTCGCTGCCTGCGAGAGCCACCGCAAGTGCCACCTCCCTTCGCTCACCTTGTGGCGCGTAGGGGCTGCTCGTTCGATTCGAACTGCCGGTTGCCATCGTTGTGCTCAGAACGGTAGTCGCAGTGGTGTTCAGGACCACTGCAGTGGTCGCAGTGGTGTTCAGGACCACTGTAGTGGTCGCAGTGGCGTTCAGGGTCATTTCAGAGGTCGCAGTGGCGTTCAGGGTCGTGTCAAAGTTCACAGTAGAGTTCAGGGTGGTCTCAGAGGTCGCAGTGGCGTTCAGGGTCGTGTCAAAGGTCACAGTAGAGTTCAGGGTGGTCTCAGAGGTTGCCAGTTGCATTCAGGGTCGTGTCAAAGGTCACAGTAGAGTTCAGGGTGGTCTCAGAGGTCGCAGTAGCGTTCAAGGTCATCTCAGAGGTCACAGTAGCGTTCAAGGTCGTCTCATCGGTGGCCGTAGCGTTCACGACGGTAGTGACATTGGTGGGGTTGGCGGTCGTGCACGATGGCAGAGGCTCCGGGCGAGACACGCACTGCACCCCATCGGGCGGGAACCCCTTGATGCACGTGCAGGTAGGGGCGAAGCCAGGCGAGGGGGAGGGGCTAGGCACGGTGACGTCATCGCACGCTCCCACCTGCCGGCAGGCAGCCGCGCTCCACAGCAAGCCGGGGCCGCAGTGGCAACGCATCTGAGTACCGTCCAACCCGCACCCTGGCGAGAGATTGGTGGGGGGGGGGGGGGGGGGGTGGAGGGGAGGGAGAGGGGGGAGGGAGAGGGGGGGGGACGAGGTGATGACGAGGTGATGACGAGAGGAAAAAGGAGGCGGTAACATTACGGTGGCGGTCGCGGGCCGTTACTGTTGCATTGTGGGGGGCATTGTCTTGTCCGGCTGATACGGAGGTCCACCTCTACTTGTGAACGTTCGACTTACGAACTTTCAGAGACACCAACAAACTGTGTTCCCGTACGTCCAGTTGCAGCTGTTCGGAACGAGAGACGTAGGTTCAACGTGAAGAACCAGTGACATTTACATCTGCAGAACGTGAAGAACCAGTGGCATCTACATCTGCAGAACGTGAAGAACCAGTGGCATCTACATCTGCAGAACGTGAAAAACCAGTGGCATCTACATATACAGAATATCAAGAACCAGTGGCATCTACATCTGCAGAACGTGAAGAACCAGTGGCATCTACAGAACGTGAAGAACCAGTGGCATCTACATCTGCAGAACGTGAAGAACCAGTGACATTTACATCTGCAGAACGTGAAGAACCAGTGGCATCTACATCTGCAGAACGTGAAGAACCAGTGGCATCTACATCTGCAGAACGTGAAAAACCAGTGGCATCTACAAATACAGAATATCAAGAACCAGTGGCATCTACATCTGCAGAACGTGAAGAACCAGTGGCATCTACATCTGCAGAACGTGAAGAACCAGTGGCATCTACAGAACGTGAAGAACCAGTGGCATCTACATCTGCAGAACGTGAAGAACCAGTGGCATCTACAGAGCGTGAAGAACCAGTGGCATATACATCTGCAGAACGTGAAGAACCAGTGGCATCTACATCTACAGAAGATGAAGAACCAGTGGAATCTACATCTACAGAACTTAAAGAAAAAGTGGCATCTACATCTGCAGGACGTGAAGAACCAGTGGCATTTACATCCGCGGAAAATTAATAACCAGTGACATCTACATTTGCAGGATATTCTAGAACCAGTGGCATCTACATCTGCATAACGTGAAAAACCAGTGGCATCTACATCTACAAAACATGAAGAACCAGTGGCATCTACATCTGCAGAATGTGAAGAACCAGTGGCATCCACAGAACGTGAAGAACCAGTGGCATCTACATCTGCAGAACGTGAAGAACCAGAGGCATCTACATCTGCAGAACGTGAAGAACCAGTGGCATCTACATCTGCAGAACATGAACAACCAATGGCATCTACAGAGCGTGAAGAACCAGTGGCATATACATCTGCAGAACGTGAAGAACCAGTGGCATCTACATCTGCAGAACGTGAAGAACCAGTGGCATCTACATCTGCAGAACGTGAAGAACCAGTGGCATCTACATCTGCAGAACGTGAAGAACTAGTGGCATCTACATCTGCAGAACGTGAAGAACCAGTGGCATCTACATCTGCAGAACGTGAAGAACTAGTGGCATCTAAATCTGCAGAACGTGAAGAACCAATGGCATCTACATCTGCAGAACGTGAAGAACTAGTGGCATCTACATCTGCTGAACGTGAAGAACCAGTGGCATCTACATCTGCGGAACGTGAACAACCAATGGCATCTACATCTGCATAACGTGTAGAACCAGTCGCATCTACATATACAGAATATGAAGAACTTGGGCATTAAAATCACCCAACAAGATGACACTTTCCCAAGGGGCCACTTTAGCTAGCACCTTTGACAGGAGGTCATACAATCCATTTGGACTCATCGGCGTAGCCTGCATCCATCCACTGATGTTCATCTTCGGTGGGGTGCATAAACAACCACCACCGACACCATTCCTCACCTCCAGTAAATGGGGAGTCCAGCCCAAAGTAGCCTGGAGCCTACAGCTTCCCACACCTCACTACTACGTTCCCACACCCCCTCGATTGTTTTATTCAGAAAAGCCACTCCCCTTTGTTTGGCATTCTCCTGCCCCGAGTAGAGGACTGTCCACCCTCATGGTGGCTGGAGCCAGAGCCGGTCCACCAGACCTCCTGAATGCCACAGATATCCAGGCGGTACCGGTCCAGCTCCCGACAGAGGAGTGGCAGCCTCTCCTCCGCAGTGAGCGTTTGAACATTCCACGTGGCCACCCGCAGTGTTTTCTAGTTGTTTCTGGAGGAGCCCCGAGGGTAACGATTCAGTCCCCTGGCTCCGCCAAAAGGGGTTTGGCCAGGAGACGTCATGGATGCCTGTCCTTCTGGCGCCTCGGGCACGAGCTTAGATTCATTTCCACGTAGTCTAGTGATCACACACTCACACACGTGTACACACACGCGCAGGCCGTAGCCATGATACTCACAGCTGAGCACCGTGACGCTGCTGGTGACATTCTGTTTGCTGACAATGAATTCAAACGAGCAGTTCCCACCGATGGGAGCATCCGTCTCGATCTGCATGCTCGCCTCGGTCTTGAACGACGTCGTGTCTGGAGACCAGACGGAGAAACGGAGAGACAGACAGACAGATTTTATCTAACCCTGCGTAAGGTCCCCACTGAGCTAGGTAGCTCCTTTTCAGAAGCGACCTGGCTCATCGCGCACGAAAGCTCAACCAAGTGGCCGACATCACTGCGTGAAAATTTACAGCGGCAGCCGAATGCTCTCAACGCGTGGCGATGTTGATTCTAAAATGTGGAGGGGAAGAACCGAAGGACTCAGAGAAAACTGCACAGGAACCACATGGAGAGAGAGAGCGACACGCAAACTGCAAATATACAGCAGTAGGCGTCAGGGTTAGGATCGAACCCTCGACCTCCTGTGTACCAGGCGAGGTAGTTAACATCTCCTAGCCACCATGGCGTTAGGGTCCGGGATTAAAACCACGACCTCCTGCGTACCAGGCGAGGTAGTCAACATCTCCTAGCCACCGTGGCGCCAACTAAGGAGGGAAGATTCACCCTTTCCCCTGTTTCCGAGACACCTCCAAGTCGCAGGGGTGGATGGCCGAGCGTCACGTCTACCGCGGAATCCCGTAACCCGTGTGCGCGGCAGAGGTCACAAACGGGTTTTGATTCCTTACCCCCATACCCGTACCCGGCCGCACCAGGGTCGCAAACGGGTACACATACCCGTACCCGATACCCGGCTACCTGTACCCGGCCGGGTATCGGGTAGGGTACGGGTATCGGGTACCCGATTGCGACCTCTGGGATGAAGCCATGTTGCAGGCGTGGGTGGGTTGATTCTAGGAACTTGAATTGTGAGAAGAGACAAGACGTTGGGAAATGAGTGACAAACAGTTACTCACCAGTGACTCATGGTCTACCCGTACCCGGCCGCACCAGGGTCGCAAACGGGTACCTGTACCCGTATCCGGCCGGATACGGGTAGCCGGGTATCGGGTAGAGTACGGGTATCGGGTAGGGTACAGGTATCGGGTACGGGTAGCCGGGTATCGGGTAGTGTACGGGTATCGGGTAGGGTACGGGTATCGGGTACGGGTAGCCGGGTATTGGGTAGGGTACGGGTATCGGGTAGGATACGGGTATCGGGTAGGGTACGGGTATCGGGTACGGGTAGCCGGGTATTGGGTAGGGTACGGGTATCGGGTAGGGTACGGGTATCGGGTACGGGTAGCCGGGTATCGGGTAGGGTACAGGTATCGGGTAGGGTACGGGTATCGGTAGGGTACGGGTATCGGGTAGGGTACGGGTATCAGGTAGGGTACGGGTATCGGGTAGGGTACGGGTATCGGGTATGGGTAGCTGGGTATCGGGTAGGGTACGGGTATCGGGTAGGGTATCGGGTAGGGTACAGCTATCGGGTAGGGTACGGGTATCGGGTACGGGTAGCCGGGTATCGGGTAAGGTACGGGTATCGGGTAGGGTATCGGTAGGGTACGGGTATCGGGTATGGGTAGCCGGGTATCGGGTAGGGTACGGGTATCAGGTAGGGTACGGGTATCGGGTATGGGTAGCCGGGTATCGGGTAGGGTACGGGTATCGGGTAGGGTATCGGGTAGGGTACGGGTATTGGGTATGGGTAGCCGGGTATCGGGTAGGGTATGGGTATCGGGTAGGGTACGGGTATCAGGTACGGTACGGGTATCAGGTACGGGTAGCCGGGTATCAGGTAGGGTACGGGTATCGGGTAGGGTACGGGTATCGGGTAGGGTACGGGTATCAGGTACGGGTAGCCGGGTATCGGGTAGGGTACGGGTATCGGGTACCCGGTTGCGACCCTGGTGCGTGGTATCGGTTTTAATTTAATTTCAGATTAGAGGCGTAGCAGTAGCAGTCGTCAGAGTAGCAGCAACGCCACTGCCGTCGTCGTCGTTACAAAGACGCCGTAACCCACCGCAAAGAACCGTAGCGACACGAGCTACCGCCAGCACAAACACGTGTTACGTTATTGGTTTTTTACCCTTCTATCTGGCAACAAAACTGACACCTTTTTACAAGGAGTCATGTTTGCATAGACCACAATACCTGCAGTCATAATGCAAACAAAAAACATAACTCTGATAATATGCACTGTCCTTGAAGTTGATTGGTCCACACCCGAGACAGCTTTCCTTAGAGCGTAGTCTCACATGGGTTGGACCAGATGACGCCAAAAGGCGCACAACTCAAAGACAATGCACCATCAGAGTATGAGAGCTCGGGGTAAGCATTTACACCATTGGAACCATTATCAGAGTTATGTTTTTTGTTTGCATTATGACTGCAGGTATTGTGGTCTATGCAAACATGACTCCTTGTAAAAAGGTGTCAGTTTTGTTGCCAGATAGAAGGGTAAAAAAACAATTATCATATTTTTACTGACAAATGAGGTTCCAATGACGTGTTACGTAATTACAACTCTATGTAACACGATTTCTGTTCCTGGGTAGTAAGTGTTATTTTAGATTTGAAGCTTTCGTGATTGCAAGGATTCATACTCTTAGTTTTTTCGGTAAAGTCACGTAGGTAAAAAAATGAAATTAAAATGAATAAAAATAAAATAATAAAAATCACTATAATAGAAATATAATAAAAATCTAAAATCATGATTTTTATTATTTGATTTTTATTAATTTCATTTTTTTACCTACGTGACTTTACCGAAAAAACTAAGAGTATAAGTGTTTCGATTTAAAGCTTTCGTGACTGCAGGGATTCATCTTCTTGGTTCTTTGGTAAAGTCATCACGTAGAATGGAAATAATAAAATAATAAAAATAAAACAATAAAATAATTCTCACGACGTTTCGGCCACAACGCCACAAGTCTGTCTCCTCGACAGACATGTTCTCCACCTGAGGACGGCTACTTGCGTTGTGGCCGAAACGTCGTGAGAATTATTTTATTATTTTAATTTTTATTATTTTATTATTTTATTATTTTCATTTTACGTGACTTTACCGAAAGAAACAAGGAGTATAAGTGTTATTTTCTAATTGCTCAAGCCTCAAAAGTAGAGCGAGTGGCTATTATTCCACACGACACTTTGCTTCTGTGACCAGGACTTCACGTGAAGGAATGACACAAATGCACACCACGTTGTCTCATTGAAAAAAGGTACATTTCAAAATGATGACTTTACCCCACCCCCATGCCCCCCAACCGCCCCTCCCCCCCACGTCTCCCCATCTCGGCCCCTCCCCCCCACGTCGCGCTGGAGGGGAACGGGGCGGTCGACTCCCCCCCAGTTGAGATTCGGTGGCGTGCGTCCGTGGCGGGGAGATTGGAACCGCGGGCAGTTTGGTGGCGCTGTGGTCACGTAGGAGGGCGAGTGGCGTGTGATGTGTGTCTGTGTGTGTGTGTCAGTGTGTGTGTCTGTGTGTGTGTGATGTGTGTGTGTCTGAGTGTGTGTGTCTGTGTGTGTGATGTGTGTGTGTCTGAGTGTGTGTGTCTGCGTGTGTGTGTGATGTGTGTCTGTGTGTGTGTGTGTGTCAGTGTGTGTGTCTGTTACCTTACCTTGCCGAGGGCTACACATCAAACACACACATCACACACAGACACACATCAAACACACACATCACACACAGACAAAGATAAAGCTCATCTTTGTCTGTGTGTGTGTCTGTGTGTGATGTGTGTGTTTGATGTGTAGGCCTCGGCAAGGTAAGGTAAAATTAAAAATGTAAAAAAAACAAGCCTACCTTTACCTTACCTTTTACCTTACCACAATACAATCACTATACCCTTATCATTTACCCTTTAGCAGGTAAGGTAAAAGGTCAAAGATAAAAAACCAACGAGCCTACCTTTACCCTACCTTTTACCCTTACCCCATACTAATTACCCGATTACAGGGTAATTACTGGGGTACTACTACACATGAAAAAGGTTTATAACGGTAAATGCTAGGGAGAGCACTTTATTCATATAGAATACTCTCGATTCCACGCTTTTTTTTACACGCTTTCTTTGAACTCACTCTGTCCGTTGTTGTCGTTGTTGTATCCTCAAATCTTGTAACTCAATTTTAACCCACTTCCCTAATGTGGTATCGACTGCACACTTGCTATACTTATGTCATACTGATGACAATACTATATTCTATCATAAAAAAATATGTTTTTAAACATTTTTTTTTATATGTTATGTGTCGGCTTGGGTCTAATTGTCCACGGTCAACTGACGTTGGCTGTAATTGGCCACAGTTCCTTACTTCATGGCAAGCTTCGGGGCCACTTCCTGGAGTTCTGCCATGACGAGTATATTTAATAAAAGTGTGTTTTTAAAAAATGTTTTGTAATATTACTTATTAAATGGAGGCCATGGACTGTGCCACGGAGATTTTAGCGGTAAACAAGGCACCGTATTTACCGGGTAATACTTCGCGCTACCTTTACCCTACCGGGTAATTCTTCCGAGCTACCTTACCCTTTAACCCTTTACCTTACCGCTTGGCATGTCGACACCTTTACCCTTTACCCTTTTACCCGGTAAAAAGGGTAAATTACCTTACCTTGCTGAGGCCTAGTGATGTGTGTCTGTGTGTATCGTGTGTCCGTGTGTGTGTCCGTGTGTGTGTCAGTGTGTGTGTCTGTCTGTGTATGTATGTGTGTGTCCGTGTGTGTGTGTCCCAGTATGTATGTGTGTCAGTATGTGTGTGTGTCAATGTGTGTGTGTCCGTGTGTGTGTCAATGTGTGTGTCTGTATGTGTATGTGTGTGTGTGTCTGCGCTGACCACTACGAACAAGCCACTTGCACCAACGGACCACATCGGGGTCGGCGTTCCATTTGTCCACTTTGTTGGCAGCACAAAGCTTCGGCCGCCTTTGTCTCCCTGTTCCGCCCAGTTGGCGATGTTTACCCAGGGACCAAACAAAAGCGAAAACGGACCGCTCAAAAGTCCAACCTTTTGTGATGTTTCTCGTTCAGTGAGGCAAACCTACCGGGTGAAGGGCTCTCACTTTTTTGGTCGGCTGGAAAAAACACGCTCAACGGTTTCAAGAAGGCTGCTCTCACCACTGAACACTAAGACTGCTATCACCACAGTTATCACCACTGAACTCTAAGACTGCTATCACCACAGCTGTCACCACTGAACACTAAGAATGCTATCACCACAGCTGTCACCACTGAACTCTAAGACTGCTATCACCACAGCTGTCACCACTGAACTCTAAAACTGCTATCACACCTGCTGTCCCAATCAACACCACGACTGCCATCACCACTGTTGTCCCAATCATCGCAACGACTGCTATCACCACGACCAAATACTTCACCGAATTACAAGCCCATGACGCGCTCGTACATGTCACGGACTCGTGTGCACGTACGCAAACCCATGACGCACGCGTGCTCATCATCGCCACGGCAAACAAAAAGTTGGGTTTCGAAGTGAAGAGAAATAAATTACGAAGTGCGCTTGTCAAAAACACGACAAAATGGCTGCCCTTACCATTCACAGTGGGACAAGATGGCCACTGGGAGACGGTGGTTGCTGTGGAAGTGGTCGGCATCGCTGCTGTGGTGGTTGTGGTGGCGGTTGCTGCCGTTCCGTTTGTTGTTGTTGTTGTTGTTGCTGCGGTTGTCGCACTTGGCGTGTCCAACGTCGTCGTCACAGGGAAGACAAAGGCGGTCGTGCTGCTCACGAACCCGATGGTTGTCGCCGGAACGGTCGTGTTGGTTGCGACGGGAGCGGTTGTGTTGTCTGCAGCTGTTGTTGATGTTGTGCTCAGTGTGACAGCAGTCGTGGTGTTGATTGGGACAGCAGTGGTGATAGCAGTCGTGGTGTTGATTGGGGTAGCTGTAGTGACAGCAGTCGTAATGTTGATTGGGGCATCAGTGGTGATAGCAGCCGTAGTGATAGCAGTCGTGGTGTTAATTGGAACAGCAGTGGTGATAGCAGTGGTAGTTGTGGTCATAGTCGTGGTGGTGGCGGTGGTGGCGGTGCTGTCGGTGGTGGAGTAACAATCAACGTTGGGATCCAGCGCCACGTTTCTCCTGCCCATGCATTGCGTCCCGTCCGTCAGGGGCCCCTGTATGCACTGGCAGGACGAGGAGGAGGTGGTCGCCCCGGGGGTCCAGTTCGTGCCGTCCGGGCACGGCCTGGACGAGCCGCAAGTGGCAGGAGACCAGTGGAGGTAGAAGTTGCCGCAGTAGCAGCACTCGACCTGGGCACTCGCACGGCACGCTGCATCGCAAACGACTTACTATCACCACTGATGTCCCAATCATCACCACGACTTACTATCACCACTGATGTTACCAATCAACACCACGACTGTTATCACCGCTGCTGTTACTAATCAACACTACGACTGTTATCACCACTGCTGATCATACAAACTCGACTCACTCTGTAGAACAGGGGAGATCATACAAACTCCACTCCACTCATTCTATAGAACAGGCGTAGATCATACAAACTCCACTCACTCACTCTGTAGAACAGGGGGAGATCATACAAACTCCACTCCACTCATTCTGTAGAACAGGCGTAGATCATACAAACTCCACTCACTCTGTAGAACAAGGGGAGATCATACAAACTCCACTCCACTCATTCTGTAGAAAAGGGGGGAGATCATACAAACTCCACTCACTCACTCTTTAGAACAGGGGGAGATCACACAAACTCCACTCACTCACTCTGTAGAACAGGGGGAGATCACACAAACTCCACTCACTCACTCTTTAGAACAGGGGGAGATCATACAAACTCCACTCCACTCTGTCGAACTTACAGCTCAGGATGCCGAAGCTCGTGACGGAGACGTTGTATTGGCCACCGCAGAGTGTATCGGACCGGAGCATCTGAGCGTCCGGTGAATACGAGCCGACGATCTGGACATCCACCGTATAGATCGCAGTGGTGTTGACAGCTGTGCCCGAAAAAGGGGGGGGGGGGAGGAAATGAACCTCATGGCGGGAACTCCGGGGGTCCAGATTTAAAGCTTTCGTGATGCTGTCTTTCCCACTGACCTGTTCTTCACCTGAGGATGGCTGCTTGCGTTGTGGCCGAAACGTCGTGAGAATTATTGTATTATGTTTTATTTTTATTATTTTATTATTTCCCTTCTACGTGACGACTTTACCTAAAGAACCAAGAAGATTTTGAAATCTCGATTCGAAGTTTCCGTGACCCGCTGGAATCCACACTCTTAAATTATTTCGGTAAAGCCACGTAGGTCGACACATTAATCGATCACGACGTTTCGATCGCAACGCAAGCAATCGTCTTCAGGGGAGAGAATCAGACGGCTGTGGACGAGGCATTATCGATGAGGTTGAGGCTTCTTGTCTCGCAGTCTGTTAAAAAATCTCAGAGTTGTTGTGTGGAAACCCTCCCCGTAGGGCAGAGGTCGCAACCGGGTACCCGGCTACCCGTACCCTACCCGATACCTGGCTACCCATACCCGGCCGGGTACGGGTACCCGTTTGCGACCCTGGTGCGGCCGGGTACGGGTACGGGTAAGGAATCAATACCCGTTTGCGACCTCTGCCGTAGAGGCGGTTCAATCTCGGTTTGAAGCTTTCGTGACTGCAGGAATCCACGCTCTTTAGTTCTTTCGGTAAATTCACGTAGGTTGACAAAATAAGCAATATATCACGACGTTTCAATCGCAACATGAGCAATCGTCATCAGGTAGAAAGACGCAGCAGCAGTTCTACTGCGGAATCTACCTGATGCGATCGAAACGTCGTGATTTTTTTTATTCAACCTACGTGACTTTACCGAAAAAACTTTGAAACTTTGATTAGCGCGTCGCGTGGAGCTCGTCGAGAGAAATCAGCTGGCCGAATCGTTTGCTATCCTACATAGGCCTTTGTGTCTCGAAAGACAATTTCTTTTGCGCCTTACGAGGTCAGCTGTAGGTTTTGCAGCGCCTACAATGACTCAATAGGCCAATCCTTGAGTGGCAATCCTTGCCACAGCAATTGCAAGTGAATGCGGTGGCAGCTCTAGAGGTATTTGTCGCTTGTTTTTTACGTCGCTCCCTCGTTGTCTGCCAAGCGGCACGTCTCTTCTCTTCGCCTCTCCTGAGGCCTGTTTTCACAGCCTGCTAGCAGATGAGTCGGTCACCGGCAGTTTTCTCCCAGTCATTTGGGTTGATGTCGCAGCTCTTCGTGTCCCGTTTACAGACAAACTACGTAACTTCACCGAAACAACTTTGATTAGCGCGTCGTGTGGAGCTCGTCGAGAGGAATCAGCTGGCCGTATCGTTCACCTTCAACCGACGTGAAATGACGTCGCAACGCAGTTTATGCGAGAGCCAGGGACTTACGGGACCCCGAGGTCCCGCCATGCAGTTCAGATGCACTCCTGAGCCTCCTGCAGGTGTAGAGGAGTAAAATGGGGACGTGACGTCAGGTGTGCTGTTCAGTGCGATGACGTCACGTCTCCTAGGGTACTTAAGGGATACCCCGTGACGTAAGCGGGGTCACTGTGGGAACGGGTAGAGTGAGAAGGGTGAAGAGGGAACCAGTGGGTAGAGAGAGGGGATCGAATAGTAAGTCTGGGGAGAAGCCGGTGGTAGCCGTAGAGGTGCTTCTCTCTCCGCTCGGTGGAGTCGGCAGAGTCCACGATCCAACAGGAGAGAGAGAGACCGAAGCAGAGGTCGATACCCGTACCCGGCTACCCGTACCCGGCCGGGTATCGGGTAGGGGCACGGGTATCGGGTACCCGATTGCGACCTCTGGGATGAAGCCATGTTGCAGGCGCGGGTGGGTTGATTCTAGGAACTTGAATTGTGAGAAGAGACAAGACGTTGGGAAATGAGTGACACACGGTGACTCACCAGTGACTCACGGCCTACCCGGCTACCCGTACCCGTACCCGGCCAGGTACGGGTAGCCGGGTATCGGCTAGGGTACGGGTATCTGGTACCTGGTTGCGACCTCTGGACCGGAGCTAGCCGGCAGGGACCCAGACTCAGAGTAGGAGCCCTAGCCCCTGGGAGTTGTGTACCCTGCTGTGTAATATTGTAACAGCTTTAATAAACCCTGGCGGAAGCTCTTAACTTACCTCCGTCTACGAGTACGTTAGTCGGAACTACTCAACACAGGGACCAGCTCTACTTACGAACGAGTTGGGGTCCCCAGGTCTGTTCGTAAGTCGATTTGTTTGTAAGTCCAAACTTTACTCCCTGGCGATTCCAAACACGTTGTACGGCGTGTACACTAAACACGGGGGTGGTGGTGGTGGTGGGGGTGATGGGGGTGGTGGGGGTGGTGGGGGTGGTGGTGGGGGTGGTGGTGGGGGTGGTTGTGGTGGGGGTGGTGGTGGTGGTTGTAGGGGTGGTAGTGGTGGTGGGGGTGGTTGTGGTGGGGGTGGTGGTGGTGGTTGTAGGGGTGGTGGTGGTGGTGGGGGGGGTGGTGGGGGTGGTGGGGTGGTGGTGGTGGTGGTGGTGGGGGTGGTGGGGTGGTGGTGGTGGTGGTGGGGGTGGTGGTGGTGGGGGTGATGGGGGTGGTGGGGGTGGTGGGGGTGGTGGTGGGGGTGGTGGTGGGGGTGGTGGTGGGGGTGGTTGTGGTGGGGGTGGTGGTGGTGGTTGTAGGGGTGGTAGTGGTGGTGGGGGTGGTTGTGGTGGGGGTGGTGGTGGTGGTTGTAGGGGTGGTGGTGGTGGTGGGGGGGGGGTGGTGGGGGTGGTGGGGTGGTGGTGGTGGTGGTGGTGGGGGTGGTGGGGTGGTGGTGGTGGTGGTGGGGGTGGAGGTGGTGGGGGTGGAGGTGGTGGGGGTGGAGGTGGTAGAGGTGGTGGGGGTGGTGGTGATAGTTGTGTGTGTTAGCGCTACTACGACCCCTGACGACCGGGTTCGATTCCCGCTCACGGTCAACACCGCCAGTGACGATTATCTGAACCGGTCATGGGCCTCCCCTAGGTCGACTCAGCCTCAACTTAGTAGCTTGTGTAGATGTGGTGGTAGTGTAGTGAACATTGCCAGCACAGGGGAAACAAAGGCGGCCAGGCGTGGTGCTGGCCACCCACCCCCTCGTGTGCCGTGCCGGCCTTCATAGGTGCTCGCTAACAGCACTTGCCCCTACAGTCTGTGACAGGCTGCACGGGGGATCTTTGTCTTTGTGTGTGTGTACGTGAGTGTGTGTGAGTGTATTTGTGTATGTGTGTGTGAGTGTATGTGTGTGTGAGTGTATGTGTGTGTAACTACAGGGGCATCTTACTCCTCAGTGTGCCTAGAAAGGTCCTGGCAACGATTATGTAACATCGCCTTGCTAGGCACGCTGAGGAGAGGCTTGCGGAGCCCCAATGCGGTTTCAGGAAAGGGCGATCCTGCACAGATGCCATATTTTCTGTCCGTCTGCTACAGCAGAGGTGTAGGGAATTCTAACAAGACCTACATCTCGGCTTCATTGACCTGGTCAAGGCCAATGATACCATCAGTAGGCCTGGGCTCTGCGTTGTTCTTCGTGATTTTGGAGTCCCTGACCCTCTGCTCACGATCATTAAGGACCTTCATGATGGTGAACAGTCCCGGGTAAAACTACGTGGCCAGGAGTCAGGGCCATTCCCTGTACACCTTGGGGTATGACAGGGATGTCCTCTGGCTCCCACAATAGTTAACATCTATTTTGACCACGTAGTTCGTGAAGCCTTCAGTAGATGTACCGGAGGATTTTAACTCTGGTACAGATACAATGGGGGGCTGATCAATGCCCAGGTGCGGTCAAGGAATGGCTCCCTATTGGTCAACCACGTTATGTATGCAGACGACCTGGTAATTGCAACTCACTCAGAGGAGTTTAAGGCGCTGCTGCTGACACTGGAGCGTGCCACTAAGAGGTGGGGCCTTACCTTCAACCCCTTAAAACTAAGCACCTGCCTGGGTATTTTGTACCATCGGACACTCCACCCACACAACTCCCAATCGGTGATGGGGCAGTTGTGGAGAGAGTGGAGAGTTTTCCCATACCTGGGCAGTGTGCTTATGACCGGCTCCAGTTTAACAGCAGAGGTCTCACTCCGAATCAGTCGAGCGGCAATATCTTTTCATCGGTTGCGTAACGCTGTGTGGAAGCTACCTGGTCTGTCGCTCCGCACGAAGCTTCAGGTCTTCTCGGCCACGGTCATTCCCTCCCTTCTCTACGCTTGCGAGACGTGGACCCCCCTGGTGGAGCATCTTCGCCGGTTGGAAACATTTAGGCTGGCCTGCCTACGATCCATCCTGGGTTTAACCAGGCTGGATTGTGTGAGGAGCTCACAAATCCTTGAAAGATCTGGGCAAAGTCCCATCAGTGAGCTCCTCCGGCAGGCAAGGCTGCGTTGGCTGGGTCATGTAGCCCGCATGCCCAGCCACCGCATGCCTAAACAGCTTTTGTTCGGCCGGATCGAGGGGGCTAGATGGGCGCGGCACGGGCTGGAGAAGAGATGGAGTGATGTGGTACAGGAGGACGTGGAGCTGAGTGGACTTGCCGATGACTGGTACCAGCGGTGTCAAGATCGGCCTCAGTGGAGGAGGCTCGTGAAGGACGCTACTGGGCAGTTGGAGGCAGTCGCCCTCCAACAACAACGGAGGGCGGAGGAGCGACGCTCACAACAACGAGCGGAGCGCCGGGTGGCTAAAGCACAGCAAGTTGGCACAGTAGGGGGCACAGGTGGTGCATCAGCCAGTCATCTCGGTCATCTCGGTCAGTCGACCAGTGGCACCTGGGTCTGCCCCGTGACCTCCTGCCAGCGGGCTTTCGACACTTCACGTGGCCTCAAGGTGCACTTGGCCTGGCACAAGCATCGTGGTGACGTCACCGCCACTTAGTGGCGAATGGCGGTTGTTGTTGTTGTTGTTGTTGTGTGTGTCTGTATGTGTCTGTGTGTCTGTATGTGTCTGTGTGTATGTGTCTGTATGTGTCTGTATGTGTCTGTGTGTGTCTGTGTGTGTGTCTGCGTCTGTATGTGTCTGTGTGTCCGTGTGTGTCTGTATGTGTCTGTGTATGTGTCTGTGTTTGTATGTCCGTGTGTGCGTGTCTGTGTGTGTGTCTGTGTGCGTGTGTCTGTATGTGTCTGTGTGTGTGTCTGTGTGTGTGTCTGTGTGTGTGTCTGTGTGTCTGTGTCTGTGTGTGTCTGTGTGTGTGTCTCTGTCTGTATGTGTCTGTGTGTGTATGTATCTGTCTGTATGTGTCTGTGTGTATGTCCGTGTCTGCGTGTATGTGTGTGTGTGCGTGCTGCTACTCAATACCACAACTTAACAGCACTTGCCCCCCTCCCTAACAGCCTGCTAGAGGCTACCCAGGGGACCTTTGTATTTGCGTATGTGCTCTGACCATCACCTCTTCTGACTCTGGAGTTCGGAATCCCCGGTTGGACACGGACCTGGGGGGCACACGGACACAGACACGCGCCAGCAGACACGAACAACTGGTGAAGTTAAAATGCGACGTTTAACAGGGAGCAGTAGGATGAGGAGGATGATTGAGAGATATCGATGGTATCTTTACTAGAGGGGTGTTTGTGTCAGACGTTGTAAAAATATTTACAACGTCGTTAAACCCTCCAACAGCACGAATCAGCTGCTGAAACACTCACTCACCCACTCACTAACTCACTCACTCACTAACTCACTAACTCACTAACTCATTAACTCACTAACTCACTCACTAACTCACTAACTCACTCACTCACTAACCAACTCACTAACCCACTCACTCACTAACTCACTCACTCACTAACCCACTCACTCACCCACTCACTCACCCACTCACTCACTCACTAACTCACTCACCCACTCACTCACTAACCCACTCACTCACTAACCCACTCACTCACTAACCCACTCACTCAATAACGCACTCACTCACTAACCCACTCACTCACTAACTCACTCACTCACTAACCCACTCACTAACCCACTCACTCACTAACTCACTCACTCACCCACCCACCCACTCACCCACTCACCCACTCACCCACCCACTCACCCACTCACCCACTCACTCATCCACTCACTCAATCCACTCACTCAATCCACTCACTCAATCCACTCACTCATCCACTCACTCACGTACTCACACACCTTTGTAGGGAGTGAGTGTGTGTGTGTAAGGCCCCACAAATCAGTGTAAAATAAACATCGTTTAGTTTTAGGATGCGTCTCTGGATGCGTCTCTTTATGGGTCTCTGTGGGAGTGTATCGGTCTCTGTGGGTCTATGTGTGTCTCTGTGGGTCTGTATAGGTATGTATCGGTCTGTATATTATATTATTATATTATTTTATTATGTTTTCTTTTAATTATTTTATTATTTCCCTTCTACGTGACTTCACCGAAAGAACCAAGAAGATGAATCCCTGCAGTCACGAAAGCTTTAAATCGAAATCTGTATAGGACTATTTGTTTCTGTATGAGTCTTGGTGGGTCTCTGTGGGTCTCTGTATGGGTCTCTCTGGGTCTCTGTATGGGTCTCTGTGTGTCTGTATGGGCCTGTATAGGTCTGTATGGGTCTCTGTGGGTCTCTGTATGGGTCTCTGTGGGTCTCTGTGGGTCTCTGTGGGTCTCTGTGGGTCTCTGTGGGTCTCTGTGGGTCTCTGTGGGTCTGTATGGGTCTCTGTGGGTCTCTGTATGGGACTCTGTATAGCAGCTCAACAGTTATGGGCCTTATCCCCCGATAAAATAACAAAAAAAATAGATAATTAATTAGAAAACAGTCGGTTTGAATCAGTGGGTGGAAGTCCTCTTACCGTCAGGGTCAGGAGTTGCAGGAGGAGTAGGAGGATTAGACTTGAACCCAGGACCAGCATCAGAGTGGCTGAGACCCCCCCTCTGATGCAGGCTCCTCGTCTGTCCCCTCGCGAGTCCATGAGTCCCCCGCACACTCCACTCCTGCTGACATTGCGGGGGGGGAGCGGTGGTGCAGTGGTTAGCGCACTGTGTGTGTGGGGAGCGGTGGTGCAGTGGTTAGCGCACTGTGTGTGTGTGGGGAGCAGTGGTGCAGTGGTTAGTGCACTGCGTGTGTGTAGGGAGTGGTGATACAGTGGTTAGCGCGCTGCGTGTGTGTGGGGAGTGGTGGTACAGTGGTTAGCGCACTGTGTGTGTGTGGGGAGCGGTGGTGCAGTGGTTAGCGCGCTGCGTGTGTGTGGGGAGTGGTGGGGGAGTGGTTAGTGCACTGCGTGTGTGTGGGGAGTGGCGGTGCAGTGGTTAGCGCACTGTGTGTGTGTGGGGAGCAGTGGTGCAGTGGTTAGCGCACTGTGTGAGTGTGTGTGTGTGGAGAGTGGTGGTTCATTGGTTAGCGCACTGCGTGTGTGTGGGGAGTGGTGGTGCAGTGTTTAGCGCACTGTGTGTGTGTGGGGGGGAGCGGTGGTGCAGTGGTTAGCGCACTGCGTATGTGAGTGGGGAGTGGTGGTGCAGTGGTTAGCGCACTGCGTGTGTGTAGAAAGTGGTTGTGCAGTGGTTAGCGCACTGTGTGTGGGTGAGTATCTGGGTGAGTATGCGAGTAGGTGATTGGGAAGGTGAGTGGGTGAGTAGGTTAGTGAGTGGGTGGGTGAGCTGATGAGTGGTTGAGTGAGTGGATGAGTGGTTGAGTGAGTGGATGAGTGGATGAGTGGTTGAGTGAGTGGATAAGTATGTGAATGAGTGAGTGTGTGAGTGGATGAGTGGATGGGTGAGTGGATGAGTGGGTGGGGGAGTGGGTGAGTGGGTGAGTGGGGGAGTGGGTGAGTGGGTGGGTGGGTGGGTGGGTGGGTGAGTGGGTGGGTGGGTGGGTGAGTGGGTGGGTGGGTGGGTGAGTGGGTGAGTGGGTGGGTGGGTGGGTGAGTGGGTGAGTGGGTGGGTGGGTGGGTGGATGAGTGGGTGGGTGGGTGAGTGGGTAGGCGAGTGAATGATTGCATTGGGGGATGAGTAATTGAGGTGGTAGCGAGCGAGCCGTTTTTGTTGTGCACATTAAACAGCAGGCTATAAAAGTTTACCCCGTAGAAGCTCTGCGTCCATAAAAAAATCAGTGGAACGCGACCGGCACGCATATTTGTGCAGTGATGTCAACCGAGTAGCAGACGTTCACGTGGAAACAACACATTTATTTAACACAAAACACGGGATAACTGCCCCCAAACAGAATAACAACCTTGATTTGAAGCTTTCGTGACAGCAGGAATCGATACTGTTTGGTTATTTCGGTAAAGTCACATAATTAGCATTGCTGCTGCATTGGCATTTAATGCCCGAGTTGGTCATGATGCTTGCACCTGGCCTGGAGTGATTGGTAGGCATGGGTCAGATCAGCTCAATAACAACGGTAGGAGGCTGCTAGATTTTTGTGCAGCCCATGGGCTTGTAATTACCAACACGCTCTTCCGGCATCGGCGCATCCACACAACATCATGGATGCATGCCGGGTCTAAGCAAGAAGATCTGCTGGACTACATAGTGATGGAACTATACACTACACTATACACTACTATACACTACACTAAACACTGCACGATACACTACACTAGTACACTATACACTACACACTACACTAGATGTACTACACTACACTACACACTACACTAGATGTACTACACTACACTATACACTACACTATGCACTATACACCACACTATACACTACACTATGCACTATACACCACACTATACACTACACTATGCACTATACACTACACACACTACACTACACTACACACTACACTACATACTACACACATTACACTACACACTACACTACACACTACACTACACACTACACACTACACTACACTACACACTACACTATACACTACACACTACACTACACACTATACACTACACTACACACTACACTAGATGTACTTACACTGCACAGGCATCGCCAGTCAGCCTCACCTCGCTGAGTGTGTCCCCGTGCGCTGCTCCACTGCCGATTTGCTGATCTGTTGGTGGAGTGGTCACTTTGAGTCTCTCAGCTGTCGAGTTGAGTAACTCAGCAGACGATGTGAGTCTCTCAGCTGTCGAGTTGAGTTACTCTGCAGTCGACGAGCTCGTGAGGTCTCTCCTCGTGAGACGACCGCCACAGACAGACAGAGAGAGACACATGAAGAGACACGGAGAGACACGGAGAGACACGGAGAGATACGGGGAGAGACAAAGACACAGAGGCACACAGAGACACACACAGAGAGACAGATACACACACACAGAGACAGAGGCACACACAGACAGAGAGACACACACAGACAGAGACAGAGACACAGAGAGAGAGAGACACACACACACAGAGACACAGATACACACACAAACAGAGACAGAGACACACACAAAGACACACAGACACACACAGAGAGACAGATACACACACACAGAGACAGAGACACGCACAGAGAGAGAGACACAGAGAGAGAGACACACACAGAGAGACAGAGACACACAGAGACACACACAGAGACAGAAACAAACACAGAGAAACACACAGAGAGAGACACACAGAGAGACACACACACACAGACACACACAGAGAGCGACACACACAGTGAGACACAGAGACAGAGAGAGACACAGAGACACACACAGTGAGACACGGAGACAGAGCGCTGTGTCTCCAATCTGCCAGTCGCCCTCCGATGCTTCGCGTCTCGCGGTTTTGGCAAAGGAATGAGCTGGGGGAGGGGTACCGGTGAGGTGAGTGGGTGGAGCAGGTGGGGTCAGTGGGTGGAGCAGGTGAGCTGAGTGGGTGGGGCAGGTGAGGTGAGTGAGTGGAGCAGGTGAGGTGAGTGGGTGGAGCAGGTGAGGTGAGTGGGGTACAGGTGAGGTGAGTGGGGTACAGGTGAGGTGAGTGATTGATTGACGCCTCAGTCCGCCCGTATCTGAGTAGGTGGTCGGGTGTGGGAGGGTTTGGTGGGTTTCGTGAGTCAGTGTTTGGTGAGTGAGTAGGTGGGTGGCTGAGTGAATGAGTGAGTGCATGTATTAGTGAGTGTATGAGTGAGTGTATGAGTGAGTGAGTATGTGGATGAGTCGTTGGGTGAGTGAATGAGTGAGTGTGTGAGTGAGTGTATGAGTGAGTGTATGAGTGAGTGTATGAGTGAGTGTATGAGTGAGTGTATGAGTGAGTGTATGAGTGAGTGTATGAGTGAGTGTATGAGTGAGTGTATGAGTGAGTGTATGAGTGAGTGTATGAGTGAGTGTATGAGTGAGTGTATGAGTGAGTGTATGAGTGAGTGTATGAGTGAGTGTATGAGTGAGTGTATGAGTGAGTGTATGAGTGAGTGTATGAGTGAGTGTATGAGTGAGTGTATGAGTGAGTGTATGAGTGAGTGTATGAGTGAGTAAGTATGTGGATGCGTCGTTGGGTGAGTGAGTGTATGAGTGATTGGGTGAGTGGTTGAGTGAGTGAGTGGTTGAGTGGTTGATTGAGTGGGTGAGTGGGTGAATGAGTGATTGACTGAGTGGTTGAGTGGTTGAGTGAGTGGTTGAGTGAGTGAGTGGTTGAGTGAGTGGGTGAGTGAGTACGTGAGTGGTTGAGTGAGTGAGTGGGAGAGGGAGTGGTTGAGTGAGTGAGTGTTTGATTGAGTGTTTGAGAGAGTGAGTGAGTGGTTAAGTGAGTGAGTGGAAGAGTGAGAGAGTGAGTCTGTGTGTGTGTGTGTGTCTGTGGGTGTGTCTGTGTATGTTTAATTCGTAGTTTCGTGGTAATAAATTGAGGGTGGAGGGGTTACCAGCCCCTCGCACCCGTCCAGAACCCCCGTTTAGCCACTGTGGTGGTCACAGACGCCATGAGGGGAGAGGGCCAATGGGCATTGGCCCTCCCCCCCAAGCACTGTCCACGACAGTGTTGCCCGTCCGGCACCGCGAGGAGGTAGGGGGTTGTTTTGCCTTCTATGACCTCCTGTCACAGGTGCTGGCTAAAGTGGCCACTCGGGACAGAGTCATCTTGTTGGGTGACTTCAATGCCCGAATTGGTCATGATGATGGCACCTGGTCTGGAGTGATTGGAAGGCATGGGCCAGATCAGCTCAATAACAACGGTAGGAGGCTGCTAGACTTTTGTGCAGCCCATGGGCTTGTAATTACCATCACGCTCTTCTGGCATCGGCACATCCGCACAACATCATGGATGCATGCCGGGTTCAAGCAAGAACATCTGCTGGACTACGTAGTGACGAACCAGCGGGATGCGAGCCCATGTCCTTGACACCAGGACCTACCGTGGAGCTGATCTGCCCTCTGACCATCGACTAGTCATCTGTAAGATGCGCCTGCCATTCTTCCACTCCGGTGGTGGGTGTACACCCAGGACCCCATTCCAACCTAAAGTGGCCTGGTCTCAGTTAGCTGATGAAAGTTGCAAGCGAGAATTTCATCATCGCTTGCAGCTGGGGTTGGCATCGTCCCCCACTCCTCCTGATGTCGAGGGTAAATGGGCAAGGTATATGACTGTGACTCATGCAGCTGCAATGGCTGCTTTGGGTACACGGTCCAGACCTCCCCAGAAACCTTGGCTGACAGAGGTGTTCAGGTTAGTTGAGAAAAAGCGACAGGCCCACTCTCATCGGCTACAGCATCCCACGTCAGAGAATGAGAAGCTACCTGGTCTGTCGCTCCGCACGAAGCTTCAGGTTTTCTCGGCCACAGTCATTCCCTCCCTTCTCTACGCTTGCGAAACGTGGACCCCCTAATGGAGCATCTTCGCCGGTTGGAAACATTTAGGCTGGCCTGCCTACGATCCATCCTGGGTTTAACCAGGCTGGATTGTGTGAGGAGCTCACAAATCCTTGAAAGATCTGGGCAAAGTCCCATCGGTGAGCTCCTCCGGCAGGCAAGGCTGCGTTCCTGCGTCATGTAGCCCGCATGCCCAACCACCGCATGCCTAAACAGCTTTTGTTTGGCCGGATCGAGGTGGCTAAACGGGCGCGGAACGGGCTAGAGAAGAGATGGAGTGATGTGGTACAGGAGGACGTGGAGCTGAGTGGACTTGCCGATGACTGGTACCAGCGGTGTCAAGATCGGCCTCAGTGGAGGAGGCTCGTGAAGGACGCTACTGGGCAGTTGGAGGCAGTCGCCCTCCAACAACAACGGAGGGCGGAGGAGCGACGCTCACAACAACGAGCGGAGCGCCGGGTGGCTAAAGCACAGCAAGTTGGTACAGTAGGGGGCACAGGTGGTGCATCAGCCAGTCATCTCGGTCATCTCGGTCAGTCGACCCGTGGCAACTGGGTCTGCCCCGTTACCTCCTGCCAGCGGGCGTTCGACACTTCACGTTGCCTCAAGGTGCACATGGCCTGGCACAAGCGTCGTGGTGACGTCACCGCCGCTTAGTGGCGAATGGCGGTAGTTGTTGTCTTTGTGTGTGTCGTTGTGTGTGTGGGTCTGTGTGTGTGTCTCTGTGTGTGTGTCTGTGTGTGTCTCTGTGTGTGTCTGTGTGTGTGTGTGTCTGTGTGTGTGATTCTGTGTGTATGTATCTGTGTGTGTCTGTGTGTGTGTGTGTCTGTGTGTGTGTCTCTCTCTGTGTGTGTGTGTCTGTGTGTGTGTCTGTGTGTTTGTATTTGCGTATCCTGCTTCCTGATGCTGTAACTCGACTCCTGTAGGCCAGTTAATGATTCTGTTATCACCGAAGGGGCGTGTGTGTGTGGGGAGTAGTGGGGCAGTGGTTAGCGCACTGTGTGTGTGGGGGGGGGGGAGCGGTGGTGCAGTGGTTAGCGCACTGTGTGTGTGTTTGGGAATCGTGGTGTAGTGGGTTGTGCACTGTGTGTGTGTGGGAATGGTGGTGCAGTGGTTAGCGCACTGTGTGTGTGTGTGGGGAGCGGTGGTGCAGTGGTTAGCGCACTGTGTGTGTGTGGGGTGAGTGGTGGTGCATTGGTTAGCGCACTGTGTGTGTGTCTGGGGAGTGGTGGTGCAGTGGGTAGCGCACTGTGTGTGTGGGGGGGGAGTGGCGGTGCAGTGGTTAGCACACTGTGTGTGTGTGGGGAGCGGTGGTGCAGTGGTTAGCGCACTGTGTGTGTGTGGGGAGTGGTGGTGCAGTGGTTAGCGCACTGTGTGTGTGTGGGGGGGGGGGGGTAGCGGTGGTGCAGTGGTTAGCGCACTGTGTGTGTGGGGAGTGGTGGTGCAGTGGTTAGCGCACTGTGTGTGTGTGTGGGGAGCGGTGGTGCAGTGGTTAGCGCACTGTGTGTGTGTGGGGAGTGGTGGTGCAGTGGTTAGCGCACTGTGTGTGTGTGTGGGGAGCATTGGTGCAGTGGTGAACACACTGCGAATGTAGGGAGCGGTGGTGCAGTGGTTAGCACATTGCCCTTCGCTCATATAAGGAATACTGGAACGGGAATCTACGTTTTTTTTGGCGATGCTAAAGCTTGGAAAACGATTCAATCGATGCTCAATCCATGCTCGAACACACGGACACTTGTCGTCAAAATGTCATCGTTCGATCGCTACCTAATCAGTCCTTGATTACTCTTTGGTTCTTTCGGTAAAGTCACGTATAAAGATAAAATAAAAGATAAAAAGCTCCAAATTAAGATCAGTCCTTGATTGGTGCTCGATCGGAGCTCAATCTGTTCACAATCGATACTCAATCAATGCTCGACCCGAGATCGATTGGAGCTTGATCGGAGCCTAATCGTTGCTAGATCGGTGCTCGATCTGAGATCGATTGTTGCTCGATCGGAGCTCAAATCAAAGTTCAATCGGTGCTCAATTTCTGCTCGATTTGTGCTCGATCGGAGTTAAATCGGTGCCTGATCGAAGCTCCATCGGAGCTCAAACGGTGCTCGATCTGAGATCGATTTGTGCTCGATCGGAGTTCAATCCGAGCTTGATTGGAGCTTGATCAGTGCTCAATACGTTCTCAATGGCCGTTCAATCACTGGCTCAATGGGAGCTCAATTGGAACTCAATTGGTGCCCAATTTGTGCTGGCTTGGAGCTTGCTCAAACCTCGATCTGAGTTCGATCTGAGCGGGTGGAGTAGAGTGTCCGTGGCTGCCTATGGGTTTCTATTGGTTTAAGGGTCTCTATGTGTCTCTATGGGTTTATTTGTCAATGTGGGTCTCTATGGGTTTGTGTTGGTCTCTGGGTCTCTATGGGTTTATTTGTCTATATGGGTCTGTGTGGGTCTATTGGTCTACGTGAGTCTCTATGGGTTTGTGTGGGTCTCGGTAGGTCTATGTGGGTCTATGTGGGTCTCTATGGGTCTTTGTGGGTCTCTGTGGGTCTATGTGGGTCTTTGTGGGTCTATGTTGGTCTCTGTGGGTCTCTGTGGGTCTCTGTGGGTCTTTGTCGGTCTATGTGGGTCTCTGTGGGTCTTTGTGGGTCTATGTGGGTCTCTATGGGTCTTTGTGGGTCTCTGTGGGTCTATGTGGGTCTCTGTGGGTCTCTGTGGGTCTCTGTGGGTCTCTGTGGGTCTATGTGGGTCTCTGTAGGTCTATGTGGATCTCTGTGGGTCTATGTGGGTCTCTGTGGGTCTATGTGGGTCTCTGTGGGTCTATGTGGGTCTCTATGGGTCTCTGTGGGTCTCTATTGTTCTCTGTGGGTCTATGTGGGTCTCTGTGGGCCTCTGTGGGTCTCTGTGGGTCTCTGTGGGTCTATGTCGGTCTCTGTGGGTTTATGTGGGTCTATGTCGGTCTCTGTGGGTCTCTAAGGGTCTCTGTGGGTCTCTGTGGGTCTATGTGGGTCTCTGT